AAAATAGAAACAAATGGACAAGAAACCCTACTGTCACAGCTCCTTAAAAAGCATCCCATGCATGGCATACGCTATGGTGGGCATGGCAGCAGTCAAACATTACCACAACTGCACCGATCGCCCATGTAGCCAAGGTAACCAAGATTTCTTGGCACTACTCGCAAGAGGAAGAGGACCCTTTCCTCCTCCTCACCAGTAAATTGATGCCCACTGCTGGCAAGGCAAGGGGTGACTTTGCAGGGGGTGCGCTGGGGGCTTTGCTCCATCCCGTTGTGCTGTGTGGGAGAGCAGTGCTCACACGGTTATCCCAACGAAAGCTTCACTGCCTTGGACTGCTGCCGAAAATTAGGAGGATATTTCCATGCAGCCTCACAGACTAGCTCTCTTTTAATGTTTTTCCTCTGCTCGATGACTTAAATCCAGGCTGTGAGTTCATGTTCCTGGAGATTCCTGGAGGTACTGTAAAAGTATGAAATAAAAAGACAGACCCTATCCCAAGGAGCTTGCAGTCTAAATACAGGTCAGGAAGATAACAGATGAACAGGCAGAGTGGGGAGCGCAGCTGAGATTAACCAGGGATAAAATAGAGAGGAGGAAGAGGTGGGGATAAAAGACTCAACCCGATGAAACCCGTACAAAACTTGGAGGGAGATGAGAAGGTCCTCCAAAGCACGTGCTGAAAAAGATTAAAGAGGTAGGAGGAGAGGCAGGAAATGATAGCACCAATGAAGCCAAGGCAGGGGAAGGTTTCCAGAGGAGCAGCACCGACTGCCTTGAAGGTAGCTGGCAGAGACGAGAGGGCATTAAGAACAGTTTGACCATGTCCCCCGCTGCCCCTTCCAAAGTTTTGTGGTGAAAGTTCAGGGATATCCATTGCCACAAACTATCAAGGCGAAAAGGGCTGTTGATTCTGGGGTTAGGTTTTGTTTTTCTTTAAGGGCGATAGGGCTTGAGAGATTCCCTTGAGCCTACTCTTTTTATAATCCTTTTGGGATTAAGTAACTCCAGACACATTTCCCTGGGGGCTGGATCCCCTTTCAGTTTGGCAGGCTGGATAGGCAGCTGCATCTCTCCCTGCAGAGGGGGTGGATGTTAACTATCTCCCTGCCACTGTCTCCGCACCATGCTCCACATCCTTTCAGGGTTTTAGCCCAGGATCAAAATGGCTTTTACTTTCTAGGACAGGTGCAACATGTGGAGAAGCGAAAGGATGTGCTGCCATCCTTTGAGAAGCACCAGAGGGCTGTGGTGCATCTAGACACGTGGCAGGGAACCGAATAGCCAAACAAGCCTGGTTCCCAAATGTCACGCTGAATGATGGTGGAGTTGTGCAGCACAACTTCATGCCAATGTCAAGTAGGGGAGAGGGATGCAGGCTGGAAGAGCAAGCAAGTACCTTTGTGTGGGCAAATGTTTCCTTCTGTAGTACGTGTATACACACATTTGGGACACCTACTGTACTAAACCACTGGCAGGCTTGTTTTCCTGATATTTGGAAGAGAACAGAAATATCCTCTCCTAACCTGAGAAGGCAAAGCACTCTCAAAAACCTGAAGCCGTGTGATCTCATCAGGTACAGAAGCTTACCAAATAACCCCAAACTGCATTTGTCCTGTTGAGGATGCTCACTGTATGGCCCGAGCACAGCCTGTTCCCGTGGCTCTCACGGTGTGACAGTCTCACAGGTCAATCCATGCAGGGCGACTCGAAACCTGAACTTCCCCAGTTCACAGATCATCAGACTTACTCCTTAATTAAAAAATCCTGCCAATGGCCTCAGTGAGGACTAAGCCAGTCTAACCCAAGGTAAAACCTCATCCCTATTATCTGAGAGCTTCTATTAGCAGTTTTGTTTTACCCTCCTTTCAAGAAGCTCCCTGTTACAACACGCTCACATACTTGGTTTCAGTGTTAGCTCGGTAGCTGACAATGAACCTGTCCAATATCTGCTAGGAGAAGGCAAACGTGACAAACCTGCAGTGGTGATACATTTCATTTTGCACTGATGGGATGGGTAGTGAAGCAAGAAATCACCTCCTGAGACAGCATGGGAAAATTGGAAAATGGTCCTTGTGCTTCCTGAGAGTGATATCTTGAGGGGAGTAGCTGGTGCCGTAACTTACACCAGCCACTAAACTTCATTAGTGGAAAATTGAGTAAACATCATTAGAACCTGGCCAGCCCCTGCTCTTTGCTGGCTTTGTCTGGGGAAGCCATGGCACCAGAAAACAAGGAAGCAGAAAGCTCATTTTTCTGCCTCACAGGGACATTTCTTTCTCTTTGCACAAGCCGAGCTCCCGCGCAGCACACATGGAAAACGTGGCCATCGTGATTCCCCTCCCGTGCTGGGAAGGGAGAAACACCTGCACATTTACAGAAAGATTACATTAGGGAAGTAAAGCCACCAGCTGTGCCAGCCAGGCAGCCTGAGGTGTCACATGCGTTTGCCTGGTGTTCCCCTCCTCGCAGAGCCAGCACGAGCCCCATGCGGGGTGCTGTGGGTGGCACCTGGCCAGCGCAGATGCCTGCAGCTCGCACAGCCTCATTTTGCACCTCGTGGTTGGTGACAGTGCTTGAAGAAGGCAGGTGCTGGAGGGGATGGGGCTCATGCGCTGCCATCCTGTGCAGTTGTGCAGTCAGAGTCCCCCGGTGGCTCGGTCAGGGTCGGTGCCAGTCCTGCATGCACTGCAGTCCCTGCAAAGAGCACGGTCTTTATGGAAATGTCAGGCCCGTGTGTTTATTCTCTGTGGGCAGAGAGTAAATCTAATTAAATCAGAAGGCTTCCAAAGGGTCATTTAGGCAAATTTGTGGAGCATATTAAATTACACTACCACCATTTTCCTGCGGTTTTGGCCTCCCAGTCTGAGGGACAGGGGCTTAGAGCAGATAAACTGATGGAAAGTTCCTCAATCTCCAAGGAAGGATGGGAGAACGAGTGGTCTGTTCACATTTTCCCATAAGTATCACAGTATCAGCCTGTGAGGGAAGGGTTTATTTTAGGAAGAGCTATTTTGAAAGCTAAAGTGTCATATCCTGGCTGGCTCTTTTCGTGGTGTTACTATAATCATCCGGTTATGACAAGCATAATGCAGAAAAAGCAACCTCTATTTTTTTTTTTTTTCTTTTTTGAGGGGGGGAAAGAAACAATGCAACTGGGATATTTTTGGACAAAGGCTGTCATTTTATTTCTCGATACGCTTTTTACTTTTCCCTCTCATCCAGCCCTATTTATAAAGTGTCAGACGATAGATCTAGGAACTGCCTGTCCTTTTCGCTGCAGAAGCCTGTGCTGGCAGCTCTGCCCAGCCAGGCGCACCTGCGAGGGTTTGCTGAACCTAGCACAGCAAGAGCTTCTCCAGCTGGCACGCGGGCTGCCCTGCTCTCACCCAGCCCTGGCTGGGGACACAAAACCACGTGCAGGCCCTGGTTGGTGAGCACTCGCCATCCTCACTATCTGAGCACTCTCTGAAACCAGCCCGGAGTTACCTGCCTCCAGGCTCAGAGCGCGCCCGCTGTCCCCAGGAGCTTGTCTTGGCTTAAGCCATGTTTTCTGTGCACCAGACAAACAAGACAAACACAGCCTGCATCTTCCCCTGTGCTGAAGTAGCTCCTGCTTTGAATTCAAAGGCAGGAGTAGGAAATTGATATACTTTCTAATTTATTGGGGGGAAGATAACTCGCAGAAAACCAAGGAGACTGCTCTCAATTTATGGAAAGCGGGCGCTTTTAAACAGTGAATGAGTGAATGTTGAAAGAGTCCTGCCTATAGAGCTACGTGCATTTAATATTCAGAAGACTCACAGGAGATGCTAAAGTGCCCTCAGCTCAGAAAATTAATAAAATATTATCTCACGAGTGAACTTCAAAAGCTTTGGCAGTTCCATTCATTCCACTTCAGATAAGCAGCCAAAATATTGCAATATCCTGCTAACCTGATGTGAAACATCCAGCTTTCCTTGGCCAGTAACATTGGGTTGGAAATGTGTGAACAATCTTTAATATTAAATATTTAGTCATTTCGTCTGCTCTGCTGTGCTTCCCTATGCGTGGGTCCAGTATTTCTGCTTCTAAAGGTAGACCTAGGCTCGGAGAGCCAGCGGGGCTTTGGCAAAACAGCAAGTGTCCTGAAGACGTGGGATTAAAACCCAGGGTTTGGCAAATCTGGCAGCCTTGTATTTAAGGGGTGAGCTGTCCAGAGATCTCTCCTCCTGGGGCAGGACAACTCTGGCTGATGAGCAAAGTGATCAAGTCTGAATTAGACCTGGCAAGAGCACACCGTGTGAGGAGAGGTAATTTTAGGGACACCTGGGGCTTTGTGCTCACCTTGTCTCCCAGCAGCCCAGCCACGCTCAGTTATTTCTTTCTGTCTTCACAATTGTCTGGGATTTTGTATTTTGTATGTTTTGCTGTTGTTGTTGTTTTGTTTTGTTATTTTGTTTTGTTTGTTTGTTTTCCCAAGACTCCTCTTGCCATAGCAAACTACTGGCCATACCAGAATTTAAGTTATTGGCACCAGGTGAACCTTTTAATTCTGAGCCATCGAGGGACCCTGTCTTTCCTCTGCAGACAGGTGGAGGAGAGAGGAAGTCTCTGGCTGACCCATGCCAGCATTTAGGGCTCATGCTCCAAAGCACCGAGCCCCAGCACATGTTGGGGATGCAGATGGGGGCCTAGCAGAGATCCCAAATTAACCTGACATCTGTAGGAATCCAGGTGGATTGCAGCCTCCCAGAGCAATCCCAGATATTTGCTTCACCCCAAACTGACACTCTCATCAGTGTATTGTACAGACAGAACAAAAATTAAATCCCTGTGGCATCTGATCCTCCTCTCATCCCTGCTGCCAGTCCCTCCGTATGAGGGCTGGAGCCCGGGGAGAGCGTTATTAATCTGTCGATGAACATGAAATGCTAGCGCTCGCAGGACTGTCAATCCAGCACAAGTAATGAGTTAAATATATATATTTATATTTAATTTCCAATTCATCAGTAATTCCCGACAGATGGAATACTTGCATTTCAGGTCAACTTGACATTGCCAGCGCTCAAAGGTCCAAGTGAGCATTGCCAAATTTAATGAGCTGCAGTAACAATGTCTCCACATTATTGGACTAATTACTAGCTTCTGAAAAGAAAAGAAAAAAAAAAAAGAGGGGGGAGGAAGAAAAAGAAAATCCTCTAAACAGATGAAACTTTAATTAACAGCATTTTGAGACGTTACTTATTATGGAGCAAATGCCACTTCAAAGTGAAAATAGCCTCTAGGTGGATAACAGATCTCATGAAGGGTACGGGCGTCAATTCAGTACTGACTTGCTCCACATGCACGGCTCTCAGCCCTCAGAGCAATCAGACTTCGTGGCAGCAGCGCTCGTGAGGCAGAGTTTCCACCTCCGCCGAGCACCCTGGGCACACGGAGAGCCGCTGCAAGCCAATGCTGCCTCTCGAAGCAGGACACAGGACACACTGGTTGCAGCCTGGCGATGTCCAGGGCTTGGCAGGACTTCCTGATGTGAGATTTGTGGCAGGAAATACATTTTGGGTTTGTTCAAAGCAGTGGCTACAGGCTTGGGCTTCCAGTTTGAGAGTCCGAGTTTGGCTGAAGCGGTGCGCCTTTAAACTTTTGGAGCTAATAATAGGATTTTGCTTCGAATGAATGAAGCAAATGCAAGGCTAATTTCTTCAAATTAACTCGAAGCAACTTCTGTTTCTCTCGCTCTCTCACACACACTCTCTCATTCATTCACTTATCTAAACAGAGAGAAAAAAAAAAAAATCCTAGCCTTCAAACTAATCAAAATATTTTCCCTGTGAACTGAGAAGGAAGAAAAGGAAGAGGTTTGTTGCTACTTCTATTTTTGAATACTGAGCCTTGCTCAGATCTGCCGTGATGAGGGGCCATGTCAAATTGACTAGATCAGATAACAGCAGGCTGCAAAAACGTTTCCTTACCCTGCGGAGACCTTCATGAATCTATTCATACCTTGCTGGCTTCAACCACCTTTGGAAGCCCCGCTGCTTTGAACGGCGACTGCGGCAGCCCGGAACAGGCTGGCACATTCAGGGGGATCCAGGACACAAAAATCATGCTGGTCTGCAAAGCCCCACACTGCCGTCCTGTCCCGTGCCATCACGCAGCAGCCCCCAGGCAGGAGGAGGCAGGGATGGATAAGGTTTGGCATCGCATGGATGTGCAGCATGCATGCTTGCTGTGAATTCAGCCTTCCTAGTGCTGGACGTGGAGGGGAAGCCTCAGATTTATTTAGGTGTGGGGATATATCTCAATTTCCCCCCTTTTTTCTTTTAGGTAGAGGAAAGCCTCTACCTTTGGAGCATTTTCTGCCCCAAGAAAGGGACTGTAATTGAAGCCATTTGGGGGGAACAGAACAGCAAGTGCTCCGCTGGCAGTACAGGGAAATACAGGGAAGTGTCCCCCAGGACACTTGCAAGGCACAGCCTGGGTGGTGAGCGTGATCTTCAGCCCCCACAGCTTTCAAGCACAGCGCTGCAGGCAGGGGCAGGGGCTGCTGCGATGACTGGGGACCCTCCCTGCGGCAGAGGGTGAGCAAGACGCAGCCTGAGTCACAACGCCTTCCTCCTTCAAGGCTGAATCACCTCCACGGGGCTGGGAAAACAAAAAAAAAGACATGCATCACAGCTCCTCGCCTCGGCTTTCTGCTTGCATAGGTCCCTGCCCTCCCAGAGCAGCTCCTATCGCATCCCAGCAACCAGACCAGTAACATTTCTGCTTAACAGTTCAATAGGGAAAGTTCTCTTCGTCACCACCTCTCCCTGCTCTGCCCTCAAAATAAAATACTAAATTAAAAAAAAAAAAAAAAAGTAAAAAAGTAAGCAGCAGCAACTAGGAGGCTGGTGGCTATGTTTAGCTGGAACAGGATTTGAGGTTTTGAGGGAAAACCCCTGGCTGCAACGCACCTGGCTGATGCAATCAGAGCAAGAAATGGGCTTCTACCTATCAGAAGAGGGATCCTGACGCCAGTGGGTGTGCGGCTGCTCCGTTACTGAGAAGGAGAGGGTCGCAGGGCCTGCAGACTGAGGTGTACAAAAGGAGAATATACCACAAAGGAAGGGTACCTGCGTTGCAGAGGGTGCCTTGGAGGATTCCATACTGCTGAGCTGCACTCAGCTCACGGCCATATAGCAGCCTTCGTGGCCATCTCACTGCATGCAACAGCCTCCAGAATAATACCTGGATAGGTCCTAGCCCACTTAAGCTATGATTTTCCCCATAATGACAACAAAGCACCACTTAGCCAAACGCTGCTGGCTCCTGCTGTGCTCCCTGGCCCAGCCCAGGCTCTTCACCAGCGCCAGTCCCACCTGGGCTGGACACAGACCCAAGGTTTCCTCAGCCATCTGGCTTGGTGGCTTCTGTGAGGCTTTGTGCCACTGCTCTTCTCTGTCTGGGAGCTGGTTCCTCTTCCAAGCCACTGCAGTCTCCTCCAGTGCCCTCAGCTTTACTGGTGCCCGTGACACCTGGGACACCCTGACCACCGGCGTGGAAGCCTCCGATGCCGCCTGTGGGATGCGAGCAGCTGGCCGGTTTCCAGGCCTGTGGTTGCCATCTTTTGTTACTGGAAATACCCTAATTAGTTTCTAATGCACCGCATTAACCTGACACCATCCACTTTATCCCACGTCTGTTGGCTTTTTCAGGACTTTTTTATTTTAATCGCCCGTGCGGATTGCAAACGCTTTTCCCAACACGGTGCTCCTCGCTCTGCTCACAGATGAAGGTGGTGTGCGAAAACACAGCGGTGGCTTTGGCTGGAGAGCAGGACAGCCTAATTCTCCCCTAACTCTTTCTCCCCTTGCCAGCCACAGACTTCTCACTCCTCCTAATCTCACTCTTGACGCTTAAAAACAAAGCAAGCACAAATCAGTCTCCCTTACCAAAGGACGAGAGAGATCGTCGGTCCATAGCGTTTGGCTGTTATCGGCCAGGCAGAGCCCTGCAGCCTGGGTGTGAGCTTTAGCAGCAGTTTGCAAATCTGCCCCCTGGATCCAGGTTGGCCTTTCAAGCATCTTTCAAAGGCCGTGGGTCTGAGACGTGTGTCTGGTCCTTATCTAGGTAGTTCTTCCCCCTGACTTGCTACGAGGGAGGGTGGGGGAAGAGATGGACCGGCCAGATGAGGCTGGCACTTTGATTTACTCCAAGTCCTTGAAAGCCTGTTGTTACCAAATGCAAAAGAAGAGTAAAAACAAAACACAACCAATAATAAAAAGCAACTAATGCATCCCATTTTTATGGCCAAAAATAAAGGCACTGGGAGGCAGGCTATTTAATGGCTATCATTCCTCCTGTGTTATTCGAAGATCCCCTTGTAAACGGGAATCCTGGGTCTGTTTTGCCATCTGTTCCCTCCACTCCTGCCTAGGAATCCTGAAAGGGTATTTATTGTATATGCAGGTTCAGTGAGGCCCACTTAATATAAACAAATACTGCATGAAATATGGTGGGGCCTGCTCTTTCTACAGTGCCTGTATTTATGAGGAAACAGTACAAAAACAAATATGTAATCTGGAAATAAACCTGTTAAATGAATAAAAAGTCCTACAGAGCAAAACATAATGATTAGCAGAGCCATTCAGTGAAAGACCCTGTTAAGGGAACACATCTGCTGTCATCCACTTTGCATCAATGCCTTTCCCCCATGATAGAAACCCATCTGAAAGCAGCCATCGGGAAACCATGGGGGAGGGGATGAGGAGAAGGAGGCAGTGATTCAGCCCAAGAGCTACAGGGCCACTTCTGCTGGCTCTTGAAATGCCCCTCGAGGCCTGTTCCCTGCTGTCCACGAAATAAACACTATGTTATTTACAGTGTACACTAGGTACAGATGACAGCCACTCAGCTGAAGAAGAAGAAGACCAAGGATAACAGCAACAACAAAAAGATCAGCAAAGCAATTGAAGGCCAGCATGGTGTGCTGGACAAAGATTCGAGTAAAGAACTTGAAGTGCAACATGTTTGTGCACACACGGGTAGAAAATCATATTTTACTTCCGACCTTGCGCAGAGCCTGGGCAGGGCTTGTACAGAAGAGCAGAGCGAGATCAACCTGCTGTGGAAATGCAAATCAGTCATGACCTGTGATGGCTAACTTAACTTCTGTGCAACATAGCTATTCAAATGCAGGAAGTGCCATTCCAGCTACCTGTTCTTATTAACTCTGTATTTACAGACCCACAGTAAAATCACGACCTGCTCCACACCCACCCCACCCACGCGGAGCCAGCCACAGGCTAGGTGAGGAACCACGCTGCTGGTCACCCTCTCTGCCTGTCATTTACATTTGCTCCAAGATATGCTGGGTATTTCCTACCACAGCTTCTGCTTTCCACCGTGGGTTACCCGATCTTCCCCATGGAGCCCATCATTAATGAGTCAGTCTCCACTGATAACGCAAACGCGACGCGTAGAAGTGGCCACAGCTGATGCAAGCCCGGAAAGTGATGCACCAAGCCCTGATGCAACCCCCCCGGGAGCCACAGTTACTCCCCCAGAGCACGTGGGACAAGGATACCCTGCTCGCTTTCAGCGTGACTCTCACTTTTGCCTTCTATTGCCAGCACAAAATCTGACAAAAACCCACGGCTTCCTGAGCCAGATAAAACTCTGCTTTTAACCTCCAGCTAACAGCTGCAGGTGAGCTCTCCTGGGTGAAAACGCTGCACAGACACCGTGCTTTTCCTTTGTCACACATGCTACCTCATGGTCACGCTGAAGTGCACCGCCTGCCCGTGTTTTCAGCATCAGGATCGTTTGCTCTTCTTGCTGATCAATCAAAGTAAAGCAATAAAACCTTCACTTTTTGGCAAGGAAGACAACGCCGCGACATCTACCAAGTAGCAGGTCTGCGACTCCCCTTCCCCACCCAAAGCACAGAGTAATGAATGCATCACGTGGCAGAATTTGAGCACTAATTGGCAAAACAGGCACAATAATTTGCTTGAACGTGCACCGTGGGGATGGTGGACTGTTTGCAGTTAGCCAGCACAGATGTGCTGCTCTCCGTGTGTGTGAGATATATGTAAAAGTTCAATGGGTTTATGTCGCTGCAGTTACTACTGCTGCTCACTGACACACTCTAGTATTTTTATTGCTGTTTCATAGCTGACATGATTCTGATGGTATGTAATTAAATATTTTACAAAGATCAGGCCTGATCTGTCAACCTTTATGCATATGAGAAATCTCATGGTGTTCAATGCCTCTACTCATGTACACAAAGCAGGCTGGGCTGGGTTCCCACAGCTACAAAAGTATTTTTTTCCCCCTCTGTATTACCCATTTGGGACTCCAATGGAATTAATCGTGAAAAAAAAAAAAAAATCCTTAAATATCCTTCACTTTTATTCTGTGTATTGAAACCTTCAGCTAGGATTTAAAGAAACTATAAGAACAGTGTTGTGGCAGTTATGTTCGGCTGGGAGTGGAAAGAAATAAGAGTTGTGTTTTGTCACAGGCTGAAAGACATTACTGCCTTTTTGCCAGTCTGTATCTCAGTGTGGTTTCCTGAGACTGATTAAGGGCTTGAAGGGGGGATATTTTTCAAGAATTCATGACTCACTTTTTATAATAGCATATTTGAGACAGAATGGGAATTGCCTGAATATTTTTGTTTGTTTGTTTTGTTTTTTAATGATACCTGCAGAATATGTCACAGTCATGTGCTTCCTTCAAACTGATACGCATACAAAACTCTCATGTGAGGGTGTCTCACAGGCGTTGTGCTCTGGGTCTTTCCCTCTGACCCAGCACCTTCGCGTGCTCACAGGGATGCTCAGCCGCAGCGCACTGCTCTACAGCAGGAGCTGAAGCTCTGCTTTAGCAGAGCCTTTCAAAGTGTGGCTTGGGGCTGAGCCACAAAGCTTTTCATGTTTTGATCCAGATCTGGGCCTACTGGGCAGGTGGATATTTGGACCTGAATTTTAGATTTGGATTCGTCTGATGGAATCATGTTTAAACCTTTGCAGCCATTCTTCTTCTAGAACCAAAGTACAGGCACACAAGCCTGGGCCACTGCATATCCTCAAAGCCTTCAATAAAATCTTCCCTCATTTCCCAGCCTCTGCTTCCCCAGTGCCTCCACAGCTGGGTACAGCTATTTTTCTGATTTTCCCCCAGCAGGGAACACAGCGAGGGCCTGAACACAGCCAACCAGGCTTTCCTGTCATTTTACGCACACACCCTTAATATTTTACTGCCTCTTGGACCCCTGAGAAAGTCTCTCTCCCATCTTTGGGCAGAAAGGGAATAAAATATGAATTTCTGGAAATGAAGAGGCCTTTTAAATGAAAGTCTACTAAGTTATTAGCCTACTATGGAAACCAAGATATAACAACGTTGCACCTAATCTTCAACTGGGAATCATTAAACCTCATCACAGCACTGCCAAAGCAGGCAGAGGACGGACTTATGCCTTTCAGGGAGCTCTGCTGGACCATTAGCTTTGCATGGCACTAAAATGAAACCCATCACACTTCCCACACCTCTGGACGGAGCGTTTCCACTTCCCTGTGTGCCATGCTGCTGCCAATTTGCCATCGCAGGGCCGAAAGCAAGAGTGCTGAAGTGCCAGGAGAAAGCTGATCCCGCATGACGCATCAGGGAAAGACAACTTGCACCAAGGCCGCTGGAAAACAGGCACTCTCCCGGGTTCCCAGCCCACGTGAAAATTTATGAGGTTTGAATGAAATTCAGCTAAAGAATCCAGGCCAACAGCTCCTTATCCAAAATGAACTCAATCGCTGGACTTTTGTCTTTTTAAGCGTCACCTGACCGTGCTTCGCACTGCCTAGGTTGAGCTCTGCTTCTCAACTACCTCAGAAAAAATTAACCCTTCTGTTGGCACCATAATGTGTGGTGAATTTAAATTTTAAAAAATAAAACAATATAAAATAGTAAAAAAAATAATAAAAAAAAAAGCTAGATCATAACATCATGACACTACAATGACCCCAACATATGGATGTGTTACAGCCCTTCAACAAATCAAGGGAGGCACTTAGAGACACGGAAACAGGCAGCTAAGTGAGACACAGGTTTTACTTGTCCACGCACACCTATGAACATGAACATATGGATTTCTTTACATCTTGACCCCGGAGAACTGGCATAAAACTTGAAAACTGCCACCTGGTTTCTGCAGTAATTTTTCCATTTAGGGTTTAAACAGCATCTAAACCCACGTGTGTGTGTGTTTTTCTCTTGCAAATATGCAGCACAGACAACTGCAAAGCAAGGAGATGGGCGTGAGAAAGAGGATTTCTGTTGACCCAAGGGAACCAGGAGAGGGATGAGCCCAGGCCTGCCAAACAGCTGGTTGAACTGCAGGGCCTGGTCTCAGGCTGTTGTGAGGCTTGTCTACTGAAGGCACAAAAAGCACCTTCTCCTCTGCCTGCTTGATTGTTTGTTGTTTTTTTTCATTGCTCCCCCAATGCAAATGTACTGGAGGGTGCTCCACGAAGCACGATTGAGGCATGTCCCCTCACCTGAGAGGAAAAGCAGCGTGCCTTTAAATGCTATTTCCCTAGGAAAGCGCAGGAGTCTGACCAGACAAGTGCTCAAATGTTTTTAAAGTGTTACCCCTCTTTTCCTCAGCTGTTGCTGGCTGCTTCCACCCCCCTGGGCCTTGAAAGCAGAGCCCGTGCAGGCTGCTGACCCATGGCATGGCAAGCTGTGGTGAGTTTGCTGAGGAGAAGAAGGCCCCGTGCTGCTGCTTCTTGGCCAGGGGCCCAAGGAGGGATTGCAACATGTATAAACCTTTCTATTAGTCATACACCCCATCAGTTAAGTCCATCTGGAACCACAAGATCATATAGAATCCTTCAGGTTGGAAAAGACCATTAAGATCATCAAGTCCAACCATCACGTAACACTACCGAGTCCGCCACTAAACCATGTCCCTAAGCACCATGTCCACACATCTCTTAAACACCTCCAGGGATGGCGACTCCACCACTTCCCCGGGCAGCCTGTTCCAATGCCTGCACACTCTCCCTGTGAAGAAATGTTTCTCGATATCCTGTCCAGACCTCCCCAGGTGCAACGTGAGCCCATTTCCTTGCATCCTAAACCTGGCTGTTTAATATTTGTTCACATCTAATCTAGCTATTTCATCCATCTGCAGCTGAGGGTGAAGGCCATGCAGCGCACGCTGCCTGCCTGTGGGGTACACAAAGCCAGTGGAAGATCTCAGTCGTCATCGACGCTGAACTTGCAGCAGATCCTGGTTTTCCCAACAACAGGCAGCCATGATCTGACACAGCCACGCAAAGCCTGCCAGGAGGATGGAGAGGAAGCTGAAAACTTCCCCTGGCCACATTACACCCTTCATCATGCATGGCAGGGGCAAGCGAGGGCAGAGGCCTGTCCCCTGCCACTTGCCAGGCTGCTGGCTCTCTGCTCCACACGAAGTGAAGGGCACGGGGGCCTCACGTGCGAGTCCAGAGAGGATCAGAAAATGAAAACAAAGTCCCCCCCACCCCCCCAAACATTTCTTTGTCTCCATTCATAACCACAATTTCATTTGCATTGATGTTTCCTGACTGATTCTCTCCTCAGAATAATTGATGGGGAAAAGATCAAGAAATGTAATTAAAAGAGAAACAAACAGAAAACAAAGGGAAAAGGGTAAATGGGCATGCGACTTCGGGTCAGGGAAGGAAGAGGAGCAGGTGGTGGAACTGATGAGGGAGATTTAATGAACTGCGATTGACTTCGAATAACAAAGGAGGAGGAACCTAATCCTACCCTTGGATCTGCACACATATGGACTTACCATAACAAATGGTAATCAATCCATCAGCCTTAAATTAAAGATAAGGTGGGCAGGCAGGAAGGGACCCAGTCTAGCCCCTCCTCCCCCCTCCTGCCATCACACCAGGTCTGTTTGCGTGTGTTCATTGACATATGTCGATAGGGCTAGTGTCCGACACGTCTCCCTCCTCCGCTTAGGCTGTTGCCTTCCCATCAGTAATGCCACCACAGGCAGGTCTTTGGATGCTACCCCAGGAATTTAGGTTCCTGGCTACACTGCACCTACGGCCTGCTTCACCCAACAGCCATCAGGGCTCGGCAACTCCAGAAATACGCCCGCAGGACTCTGTACGTAAACACTCGCCGAGTTTTAATCAAATGCACATCACAGATAGTCCTGCGTGACAGAAACCAGAGCAGCCAATCCGCAGACCTGCCAAGAATAGCTTCATCTGCGATGCAAGCATTTTTTCCTCTTTTGTATCATTTTGGCCCCGGCTTTCTTATTCTGGGACAAGCTGCAGAAATATTCTGAGTTTTATGAGATAGCTGCCTGTTCGCTAGGCTTTCTAAATATGCACCCAGGCTTTATGGTTCCTCATTAAGTTTTCTAGGATGGAGCTTCTATTTTAAGGCCCAGATCTGCCAAAGCAAGTTGCACAGTTGGACGCCCCTTCCCATGCATATGGTGAAGCATAGCTGTGGGTTTCTTTGCAGGACTCAGGGCCCTAGCATTTGGGCCTGGCAGGCAGCTCATCCCACAGAAAGTGCTTCTAAACAGAGGGAGAACTTATAGATGCTAGCATCTCCAGGGCTGGCAACAGACACTTATTTCTCCTTGACCAGAAAATGCTAAGCTGGAAGAGGACCAGTGCCACCAGCAACCTGTCTTTTAGGAAAAATAAGGCCAACTGAGCTGGCAGTGGTGAGGCAGTGGGTTGTGATGAGAAAGCTGAAGAAAATGGGAGAGGCTGGGTCCAGCCAGGCACGCAGCCTGTGGCCCAGTCCCCAGGCAGAGCTGCACTGGTGGAAGGGCCCAGGCTGTCAGGTCTGGAAGCACTTCTACCGTGGCTATTATATGAACAAAGCATTTGCCAATTAAAATAATTCAGACAAATCTCCTATGTCCTGAGGAATGGGCAGAGCAGGCACAGATGGAAAGGAACGCAATGCCAGGCCCTGCCACATCAAATCCAGTGAGGGGAAAGGGGGGGGGGGGAAATGTGAAATAGCTACTGAAGTTAAACTATTCTGTCTATTTTTAGCTCTGCAAGACTAGCGGGCTCCTCATGCTGAGCTATTTCTACCTGACAATCAGGAAATGGGCTCCCTGGCACGGGAGGACCAACACCAGAGGAAGAGATGGCTTGGGCTGTGAGCCTGCATTTCTGCAAGTGGTAAGTTTTGCTGACTCCTGTGGCACCAGAAAGCCTACCTGACCACGCTGTTGTGGCTCTCAGATGCTCTGTAATCCCCATCCTGGCTGATCTGTTGGATGAGAGCTGTGGGAATTTGGGATACCTGTAGGCATATATCAAGTACATTCAAATGCTTGGCAAGTGTTAAAGCACAGAACCAAGGCATCAGCGATTTTGCGTGTCACTGCTGAGCTGACAGACAAGAATTCAGAAACAGACAAAACAGAGGAAAGGCTTACAGCCAGTACACTGCACTTCCTAAGCCACCAGCATCTGTGATACCTGGCCTCTGACTCAGCTTCTCCAGACTTCCACATCTTAAATGATCTCACACCCAGAGCATGAATTTGCACCACAGGGGTGGTTTTGGTGCTTTTCAGGTGTGAGGTGGGCTGACAGGGAGCCAAGCTGGCACATCCCATCACCTCTCAGCTGAGCATACTGAGGACTGCTGGCCCCAGCTCCACGCTGCAGCCCAACCTCCTAATGCCTCTACCAACCAGGGCAATTCCCTGGCCTGCTGGCAGGTCACCACATTGCTCCCTGAGAGGTATCACCACGAGGTTTTGGGGAGAAAAACCTTTTCCACCAGTGAGAGCATGGTGTGGTGTCACTCACCCATTCCCACAGGAGCAAGAGCCAATGTTTCAGGAGCAGTGGGCAGAAGTGTTTCACCACACGTATGCTGATGAGCCACCACCTCACAGCCTTCACGTCTCACCGTGAGCAGGTTCAATTTCAGCCAAGCTGCTTGCTAGGCAGGTTCTTCTCATCCTTATTTCTCAAGGAGTCTCAAAGCAAAGCACATCAATGGCAAAGGAGTAGGGAGAGCGTCGAAGTGGAGGTCATCAGTGCACAATCCCTCTTCATCATACATTTCTGGGACCTCCTTCATCTTCTTTTCACCTACAAAAATCTGGCTGCAAGCCACAGAATAATATAGCAACGGGGGAAAGGGAGGAAGAAGGCTTAACTTTTATTTATTTTAGTGCGATCATTAGGATTATGTCAGGGGGAAAAAGCATTAATACATAATCTTTTCCCTGTGCTATACAACACTGGCTGCTTTTAATTTAGAATTAAATTGAAACACTCACTCAGAGCAGCTTTGAACAGCAGCCAAGGCCTTCCCTTGCATTGTGTTAGCAGCTGGGTAGCCTTCCCACTCTTTTTTTTTTTTTTTTTTTTTTTTTTCAGACCTGTGCTGAGGGTCAGTCACTGACTATCCTTGTCACACATCCCCAGATACTGGGGGTCTCCTTGGCTTCAAGCTGACACACCGAGGCACCCACAGCACAGGTGAAGGGGAAGAGGTCCCATTAAGACACATGAGCGTGGCCCCCAGCAGACCAGCCCTCAGCAAACAGCGCTCCCGAGCCACAAGTATTTCACAAATTAAAGAGAGGAGGGACGTATTAAAAAGCACATCAAAATGCACATTTTTTTTAAATGCTAAAGAGCAGTGATTTATTTCTCTCAACAGCGCGAGTTACTTCATATGCTTTGCTGCACATGATTAGGCAAGTTCACACATGGAAAACACAGTTTGGAGGTATAAACAGGACAAGCAAGGCTGGGCTGGGTAAAGCCAAATTTAGTTAAGTGAACTGGTCATCCTGTTTTGTTCACACGAGGAGCCTGCTCCAGACAGTTCTCACCAAGCTGATGAGAAAGGTGCCATGGTCACCCCGTTGCCCCGTTCATTTCAACCCGTATAAATACTAGGTTTTGTCAGGCTAAAGAATCCACAGTGGATTCAAGCCTTTTTCTTAATTATTGGTATTCAACGAAAGAAAGGGTAAGTTTAAAGGGGAAAAAAAAAAAAAAAAGATTGCCACCCTTTCAGTGCTGCTGTGAAGGGAGCGCTGCTTATCACAACAGGTGCAAAGGCCACTCACAAAAACAGAAGCAGTTCAGCGCTGAAAGGCTAAGAAATTACTTATTCTCTTTGTCAGCTGCTCACACAGGCAGGGTAAAGGCTACTTGGAAGGAAAGACAGAGGGTTAAAAAGAAGGGTTAAAGTTTGTCACAGAAAGAAGCGAGAAAGAAAGAAAAGAAGAGGACGCACACACAGGCCCACAGGTTCACAGGAGACACTGGGAGATACATCGACCTTAAAAAGGAGTTAAAAAGAAGCCAGAAACAAAACCACATCCCCGCACGGAGTGGGAATGAGCAGCACCACCAGACTGGGGACATTTTAACAGGCGGCCACTTCTCCTGAATGGCGCGGGGAACAATGCCACCCGCCTGAAAGCGCAGCATTCCTGCCGCTGCGCCCCTGCGGAAAGAAAGGGGCTGCTGGGGTCTTCCCCACGGCGCCGGCTAATTGCACCTTCTTGGGCACGGCTCACAGACCGTGCTTGTTCCCTGTCGGAGGAGTGATTTGTGTACCACACCTACGGAGTCAACATACTTGGGGGAAAAGTGAAGAAAAAAGGAAAACAAAACAAAAATGATGAGAAGCCTGGGGGTTGCAGGGTTCTGTTTCTCTTTGGGTTCTTAGCTGGTGTTTTCCTCCGCCCGCCGTCTTTCAAGATAAGGCATCAGAAGTAACTGAAACTGGAATTTCATTTTATAACACCCCTCCATTAATCCTTACATCTCTCTCAACTGCTGCATAAATTTCACCCTCTCTCCACAGAGCTCGAGGTTGCTTTACATCTGGTGCATCTTATTTTCTAAGGATGATGGCTCTGTTTATTTTAACCAGGCCTGGAATGATGTGCAAACCAGCCATGCCTCTTAGATGCTGATTGTTCCCAGAACCAGATGGTCAAGCCTTCCTCTTTCAAGACAGCTGACTCAAAAGCCATAAAAGAAAACACCAAAAATGAAAACAATCATCAACAACAACATCAAAACACACCCTGTGGTGGGAAAAAAAAATATTTCAATGTTGGCACTGTGAGAGAGAAAAAACTCAGAGAAAAGAGAGTGTTTGGTTTTTCCAGACACTGGAGGTCCACCATGCAAGGGGGGGATGTGCTCATCAGAAAGTTTCCACCAGTGGCAAAGTAGCAGGAGGAATTCCCAGGCTTAAAGATGACAGATGTTCTTACCTCTGGTATCCAGAAGCAGTAAAAGCCACCTGTGGTTGTTCTGACAGCCCTGCTAAATGAACGGCACGTTAGAGCACCAGTGAAATAGAACAATGCAAGTTGCTGTTGTCTGCATCTGCAGGTTCTCTGATACTCACACAGGCTTCGCAATTTATAGCCAAACCCAAAGTGCTTAAACTCCATTTTAGCTCCATCCTTGTGGTTCCCTTCCTTCCCAGGCTTTCTATTCCCTACTGGTCCTAGCTTAATTGCACCACTTTGCTCTAAGTCACTGAAAGCCACTGATGGGGCACGGTTAGACATGGTGTAAAGCTGCTGCAGCCCAACTAAGCCTCTTAAATCCTATCCTGAAGGTTAAGTTGGTCCAGCATAAGAGTGCAGGAGAATTCATATGTGTAGAAACAACTCTTATGGTTTAAAAAGGACCAGCTCCTCCCTACCTTGATCAAAATCAAAAAACATTTCACACCATTGTAATCAAATTGAAAAAAAAAAATACAGTCAGGTTATGGACAGAAACAAACAAGTTACCACAAAACAACTCGTGAAATCTCCCCACAAAGGTGTAAACTTACAGCACGCCATCTATTCTGCAGTTGTGTCTGCTATGCAGGCTTTCACCCCAGTAGACATTAGGTAGCTTTTCTTTCAACTGTCTTTCACCTCTCTAGGGGAAAACAGACACACAAGCTGCCTAAAGAATCTAAAAAAAAAAACACCAATCACGTTATCTTTAACCATCACAAGAAACAGACAGCCATGAAAAAGTAAGCTATGCCTGGATGCTTTTCATCAACTACTTCATCTTAACATTCCTTAATATTCTGTAGGAAGTATCCAATCCTGACATGAAAAGACTTTGTGAAGATTTTGAGAAAGGTAGAAAGTCCATTTCAAGCTTTCCAAGAGGAGGGGAGGCTTTAAACATTTGGACAGTTTCTCATTCAGTGCTCTTTGGTTCTTAAAACTGCCAAGACCCTGTTAAACGAAAAGTGCTCTGTATATGGACCACTCACACTTAAGCCAAACATAAGACTAGATTCAACTGAAAAGGTCCCCTACAAAGATGTTTGCACTTGCTGAGCTAAAATCAGCTTTTAACTAAGTTAAACTGTAAAGATATACAGTTGAACTCTCGGTGCAAGTATGTTGTGGGAGCCCTATGGCACTATTCACACTAAAGAAATTAGGATGAGGCTGTTAAGACCCACTCCCACTCACGGCTGGGGCACCATAGATAGAAAACCTCCATTCAGCACCTCCTCCTGCACATAAGCATTCACAGATATTAATAGCAGAAATAATTCATTGCATACCCCAATGAAGCATTTCAAAGTGTATTGTCATTTAAGAACAAGCCCCCTGTGACAAGCAAGGTAAATAATGACGAGACAAAAACTTGAGCAGATGATGCTGTTGAAGATCGTATTGTCGTTGTACAAGCAACTGAAGATACCACATCATACCTGCTTGGGGCTGGGACGTTCTCCACCGTATGTTTGCGAAGTCCCCTGGACAATGGGACCCTAAGCTGCTTGCCACCTCTAGACACCGGTACAATGTGGATATTTAACAACAAGAGCTGCAGGCCCAGTGCACACAGTACTTACTCGTCAACGTCCTGTATGCTGAAGAATATTTTCTGTGCTAATTGGCAAGGATGGCTGTTAATCCACCATAGAATAGCTCCCTTACAAACCTCAGCAAAATCCACTTAGCTTTGAGTCAGGCATACTTCAGAAAGTATTTGTGCTCTTTCCCTTTGGATTGAGAGAGACAGAGTGAGCAGGGGTGAGACAAATACTGGAAGTGCAATGGGGCTTTAGTAAAACTTCAGAAATCTATTAAGAATGGGAAAGAAGCCACAGGCTCTGCGCTAAGGAGAAAAACTGTTTGTCACAGAGCAGCAGTTTTGAGCTGCTCGGCTCTGAAAACAAGGTTCTGCTAATTAAAACCTTGATACAGCACGTCATTTAAGTTTATTTAAATATGTACTTAAAGATAAACGCAAAGCATTCTGCTCAAACATTTTGAGGAATATGATCCTTGAGCAAGATTAACAAGTCTTTAATAACACTTGTGTTATGAAATGTCATTATAATCAAGCAGTAAATCAATAGTACAGTAGCATATGCTCAGATCACAGGGGCTGTATTCTGAGGAACAAAAGAAAGGCCAGCTTCCCCGTCTTTTATGGCAGTGATACATGTTATGTGTACCTACACCTTCCACGTGATGCCACTTCTGGTACCTGCAGTCATCCGTGAGGCCATCTGTCTGCATTGCAAGGGGTGGATGGAAAGGGACAGCGATGCTTCCCTGTGACTCACACAACCCTCAGAGCAGGCTAAAGGCAGGGCTCACCAGCACTGAATGGCTCCTACCCCAGCAGGCTCTCTTGTTCTGTTTTATGGCTCCCCTCAGACTCTTTGCGCTCCCAAGGGTCTGGCCTCATGGCCAGGCTACACAGTACTCAGAGCAAGAAGCAGAGATGGCTTTCTGCTGGTTTAGAGCCACAAGGGAAGAGCTGTGGCTGGTGAAGGGGTGAAGGCACTACCATGGTCAGAGTGCAGAAATACGGCAGCAGAGCAGAGCTTCAGTGGCCTCCACTGAAGCTGTCAAGGATACGCCCCGGTGAGTGAGATAATGCATGTGTTCCCCTGCCTGGCCCAGGCTGAATTAGCACATCTGGGGCCCACATTTACCCCTGCTTTGGAGCACCTTTGCCATTAACACTAAAAACATATCCTGGAGGACACAAGGGCTTGAGATGAAGGAGGTGAGAGGGGAAATAAGACACCTGCCTCCCCCTTCACCTTGCTCCTCCCGCCTCCCACATGGCTCCGGAACACTTTGTGACTTGAATGCTGTCAATCTCCTCACGGAAGGAATATATTTATAGAAACCCCATCCCTGCGTCTGAACACTTTTATGATACCAGATGTCGGAGGACACGAAGTCGATGAAATAAAGCATAGGGGTCAAAATTATCTGCTGCCAGCAGTGAGATTTACAGTTTCTCCGACGACCGTGGAGCAATGCCAGTTTACTCTGGCAGAGAACCGGGGCTGGCAAGTGGGTACCGATGTAAATAGTTAGGCTGTGCACACTGCTCACACAAGACGACGTTTGTCCTTTGCAGGAGAGATGTTACTAGGAAGGGTTAATGCCTCCTCTTTGAAATATGGCGTGGCAGCTGCAGATGACATCAGATTTTCTGCCATACTGGTTTCTATCAACATACACAACACATCCAGGGAAGTCCAAGCACTGCCTGAGACTGCAATGAGACCGACAGTCAGGAGTATCACAATAGATTATATCATTTCGGGAGTTCATGTGGTTGTGTTTAAAAACAGGGCTATCTTCAGTCTCTTAGGAGAGCAACACGGGGATGGATCTAAGCACTAAGAGTTCAGGCACCTCTTTGGTGATCAAACCACAAAAAACGTGGATCTCAGGTACACACGTGAAACTCACCTGCAACTGAAGCCAGCAGCCCAGGAAGATGCCAGGGTGCATAGCCGAAGGATCTGTATTGTTGTATTTTGGCAGTACACAGCAAAGCTGAGGAGAAGTGGGTTAATTAAAATTCATATGTCATTTCCATTTCCTCTGCATGTCTACAAGACTGTTTATTCTCACCATCTGAAAGAGATTCTCACCATCTGAAAGAGATATTAATTGCTGCTCTTGGTTGGTGAGAATAAACACTACAAGAGATCAAGTTCCCTAGTGAAGCCTTCTCAGTTTTGCTTTTAAAACGCAATGGAACAGCTTGAAAGGGCTGCTCTTATCTGCACGGCAATTGGCTTAAGATGCAAGCCTAGGGTGAAGTCCATTATCATTTGTCCACTGGCATTTTGCTGATGAGCACCAGAGCAGCAGTTGTTGCCTGTTTCCATCAGCCACAGTCCAACACAGTAAGAGTATTTTGGCCATAGATTAGGCTTAGGTGATTTGCTTCAAATAATCCCCTTTCTTCATTACCGTGGCTCCTGGAGTGATCAGGAATCTGTAGGCACCTGAAATAGGACCTTTCACACAAGCTGGAGAGACACGTTATGGAAATGAAGCATGTGTTTGCTCATCGGTATTTCAGCACTGACACCACATCGATGCTGAGATGAGGTCTAACAAATTTTGTGTTCCTGCACTGCCCAGGGTGCATCTTGGAGACTGCTTATCTTCTGTGAGCATAAGACCCTGTATTCAAACAGAGCATGCAATTTGGTGGTGATTTCTTCTGCTGTAGCTGAGAGCATGGTAATGTGTGTAGATAGCACAGTTGGTGAAAGACAAGAGCTGCACGGTACTCATGACTGGTTTGGCTGAAGCATCACTTTCCTTGTGGTCATAGGTGTGTCTTTAGGTGTGCCAGCTTGCCTGCCAACGCAGATGTCTTCACCTCCAGAAACATGAGGCTAGCAAAAAAATGGACAGGATCTGAAACGAGGTGTGTTCTGCTGGCTGTTGGGCCCCAGCCCAACTTACAGCAACATTGCTCCATGTGCGTTTCATCAAGGCCCAGGTGGAAATGGTAGGGTTGGAGTGCGCAACAATACACCCACGGATCTTGCTGATACTATGCAGAGGGCTGGTCCACAGCACCATGAGCCACCCCAAGAAAAAATGTGATTGAACTGAACCCTCCTGCCCACTGCAGCAAAAATTAATGCCTGTGGTGAAGTGAGAGGCGGTAGAGTGAAAGACACTTCTAGGTAGCTTCGACCAACCAAGGGAAGTAATCTGTGTGGGCTACTGCTACTCCAGCAGACAACAGGGGAGAGGCTACATACAACACACAAAACCAGTAGGCATCCACAGCATATGCTGCTGCCATTTCCCAGTCAAAAACAGCTGGGGAGAAATTTTAGAAGGATGCAATATTCATAGCTTGCTTCATTTCACAAGAATCTGGAAATGAGCATCAATATTACTAAATACCTACCAGCAGGCAAAGAGAGAGGTTGGCCACCCCTTAAGCAACAGAATAAAGGTCAGCAAGGCACGAGAAACAGGGCTGCTCTGCTTCTGTAGTTGGGCAAGGAAGCTCCAACCAGCGGACAGCTTTGGATGGTCTCAGAGCTCCTGCAAAAGCCACGTAATAATTAGGATTTTACCAGGGCTATAGACCAGGGTCACAGTATTTTCAAAAATCAAACATATACTACAGAAATGTTGAAAGAAGTGCACTAAAAACAACAGCAACAACAAATCATCTGCTTTGAAATTCTGGCTGACACCTATAAATATAAAAATTCAAAAGTTGGTTGTACAGTATTTGTTAGCCTCTTGAGTTATATACATGGTGTAGATTAGCTGGATTTCAACTAAGCAGAAAGAAGAGGAATTACCGTGGTATACTTCAAGATAAAATTCTAGAAAAGGGACACTCATTATAAGTAATGAATTTCTAAGAAGAGACAGTCTGAGAATACTTCTCAGTTAACAATGTCTTTTTTTATCTCAGCGAGTTATTTACCTGAACACTTTAGTTCTCAAGAGATTTGGAGTGATGCAAAAATCCACCTCTCTTGCAGCATCTGTTTACAAAAGCTGTACCTGCTGCAGAGCCGTCACCACAAAGAGAATTTGGCTTCAATGCTAATTTGCTCACCAAGTGTCACTTGAGACAACATCTAGACGTGAAGTAATGGATAGCAATCTTCATAAACATATCCAGGCCAAATTCTTCAGTAACATAAAGGCTGTGAAAGCAGATGAGAAAACATGTAAAAGCTAAAGTATTGTCATCCTTCAGGCATTTCTGGGCAAGTTGAGACATACACAGATGGAGCAGACAGTGGGGAGCAATGTGAAGGCCACAGACCCCTCTTGCACATGTTCTCTTCCTTTGTTGCTTCCCACTCCCATCCCCAAGACCTTCCCCCTTTGCATTCTTTGGTGGGTCCTACATTACGTTCATTCCGTGTACAGCCCAAATGCTGCACTGCTGCCTTACAACTCACCCCTATTTTCTTGCTTATACCACCTTCTCACTACTAAAAAAATATCAGGCTGCCTCAATGGGTTGGAGGTTGGAGGGAAAATAGTATTTTGTACCCACTGCTGGCCCACAAGAAGGCAACGGGATTTTAGCTACTGACTTTAAGACAGCAGGAACAGACCCTTACTGAGAAATAAAAAGAGGCTGTTCATTAGTTTGGACACATCTCTCTGTTACACTACCATATCAATTTGCTGCAATACCCTTGGATCTAGTTCTAATACAAACACATACAACAGCTCTATCAAATCCAAATAATGACAACTTTAAAAAAAAAAAAAAAAGGAATAAATCTTTAGGCTTTTGAGTAGAGGAGAGTGATTCACTGATCAATGCACTGACCCTCTTTCGAAATGCAAGGGTCTCTGTGGAAACACATCATGTGGGCTTGACTTTTGTCCAAAAAGTTCTGACTATGAAATGACACATTGAGAATATATATTTATCCCTACATCTTCACAACAGCACATGCAGCTGCCATTATTGGTAGTGCAGGAATCAGATACTAAATCCTATCCATCACTTTGAAAATGTCACTCTTTAACACCAGCCCAACAGCTCCAATGCATCGCCTTCCCTGGAAATGCTCCAGCCATTGTACAAACAGATATTTTGAACATCTACTTCTGAAACTTTTCCCTTCACCTCAAGGGCAGACTGGTCTTTATTTATTGTTATGCATAGAGCATCACAGATTTTTGTGCTGCTTTTTTTTTTTTAAGTATAATGTCTTTGCTCCCAGAAATGATCACACTCAGAGCTGTCTCAGTCCACAAAGAAGGTGATGAGTGCCTGTAAGCCAGAAAAGAAGTGGTGTTTCCAGAACATCTTTCCAATAAGTTTCCCAGTTGATGAGCACAGTTACTTGCGTGTCTGTGAGGCACACCACAACAACATCATATATTTTCCTCCTTGACCAGTGACACATTTGTGGTAGCCCCCAGATGTCTGCAGACACCAGTCCTATGCCCACCCGAGCAAAATTACATGCATGGCAAAACTCTGGAAAAGAGAACCAGGAACAAGGTTCAATATCAGTCAGAGAGGTGCAGCACCAAATAAAAGGTGGGATCCATGGGAATGAGAAAGACTACAGCCGTGCAGGAGCTGCTGGGGCGTTCCTATTACACATGCATCCTGAGAGCTTGTCCATGCTTTTGTTTTTAATTAGCATTTGTTAACATATGGAGACATTTACCCAGAATGAAGGTTGGTGGAGAGGTTACCAGAAACAGCCTCTCTCTCCCTTTCCCCCATCCCCTTCCCAGTGGGGCAAAGGGGGCCAGCTCTCCAGCTGGTATAAATCTGCGGTGCTCCGCTGATTTACACCAGCTGAGCATCTGGCTTCAAGACATTTCCGATCGTATATAAAAAGAACAGCAATGTGGTGTGCTGCTTATAAATCTCTCTCGTGAGCCAAGGCTGTGGTCCTCACCTGTGTCCTGCTTGGCTATGTCACCCCGTGGTGTCCCTTGCCATCTCCTGAGGCATTGGTGGACACCACCAGGCCTGCTCCTGGCCGCTGTCACCTGGGGGAAATGGACACGGGACAGCCACCACCCAGCTGCTCTGACAAAATGGAGGCAGGAGCGAGGAGGGGAAATGCCTGCCTGCTCCCTCCCCAGCCTTGCGGGGAGGATTAGCTGGCCAGTGTTCATAAAGAGCCCTGAAGGGGTCAAGTGTGGGAGCGATTGATGTCAGCATCGCGGCACCAGGTCTAACAGCTGACCCAGGGTTGCTTGTAATCTCTCTTAATAACAGAGCAAATGGCACCCCCTGCCCGGCCTTCGGTTTGGGAGGGCAAAGCTCGGCCCTGTGCTGACACCCACTTTGGCACAGGAGGCATCACCCAGTCCTCACACAGGTCCTGGGGAGGGATGGCATCCCCCAGTGAAGACCACCACTTCCAGACCCTGCTTGCTCAGCTTTCAAGCCACCTTCATACACGAGGATGCCTTTCCTCCTGAACCCGATGGGACTGGGGCAGGAGCAGCCAGGCCTGCACCTTGCCAGGTCCTCTCCTCCTCCTGCAGCTGAAGGCCATGCTTTCAAAGCCCATATCCAACTCACGCCTGTGCTCCTTGTCACTGTGTACCATTTCCTATGGGCAAGAGGCAGGAAGATGACTTTGCTTTCGCACAGGCCATATTCAGGCCTGCACACTTTTCCCACTTTTGTCCTGGGTTTTGGTTTGTTGTTTTGCTTCATTTTGCTTTCAGAAAAAGTGACTCCTTTTACAGCAATGCAAAAACTTTCTCCAAAATTGCCAGATTAGTCAGGCTTTGTAAGTTGAATTTCTTTTCCTGCCTGTCCTTTGTTAGGAAAACCTCAAATTATACAAACATATTCCATTTATGTATAAAGCCATATTATTTTCAAAGGTGGCTTCAGTGAGAACAAAATTAAAATAGAACTTGGTAGTATAGGCATTTTTCTGCGTTGTGACACCATGTTTTGCCGATCCTTTTGCATTTCCATGATGAACACAACTAATCCATGACAATGTCAGATCACCCACATGGCAGCAGCTGCTGCCCCTGGGGGGAGGCACAGATGATGAAGAGGAAGCACCTCGCGTGAGAGCAGCAGTAACTCAATTTGCTTGTCCTCGGCAGAAGTGGCTGGTGCCACAGATGCCAATGGGGCCAAGAGATCACCCCAGTGCCTGGGTGACAGGCCTTGGCATGGACTCGGCATGAAGCTGGGGAGGGAGGCCAGCCTGAGCTGCCAGCCACCTCGTTTCCCCCAAAAGAGCCAAAGCAGCTTCATGCTGATCTCAGCTAGCCGGAGGGATGCAGCTGAGTGAAGGGGTGATGAGCAATCCAGGGAAAGGCTCAGCTGGCATGAACTTCTGCAAAAAAGTTCAAAAAAGACCAGAAAGCCAAGGTATTGCCCTCCCTCACCACTTTATCCTCTCTGTTTTCTTCCTCCCACCCCAGAAAGGTGGCAAGGCAGCTGGCTTTAAAGCAGGCAATGGTACAGGCTCAGCCCTGCACCTTCGGAGGTCACGGGGAGTTTTGCCACTGGCTTCAATAGATGGAGAATCGGGGTCACGGTTTGGTGCTTAAGCGGCCCCTCTGGAATCACAGCCCGAGACTGCAATTAGTGCTGATTTATTCTGGGTGACTACAGTTCAACACAGACCAGTACTGGTCTGGCTGCCACAATTCATCCTTGAGATTTGCCAGTAAAGGCAGCAATTCTTTTGATCTTCCTAATAGAGAAAATTGGAGAGCATACAATTAGCCTTTTTTTTTTCCTCCCTGCCATTTGGATATGATGACAAGTAGTCTGACGGGGAGCTCTGTGCCCTCAGCAGCATGTGCCTCAAATCCTGCTGGCCACGTAACGCCAAAGGATTTAAACTCTCCTGACTCCACTCCTGAGCACGTCAAACACGTGTTAGTGGAAAGCGCTTGAAATGAGAGTGAGGGCATTCCCCAGGGCAGGGAGGATGGAGTCCTAGAGGAGCTCACGGTGCTGTTTGATTGCAAAGCAGCTTGCTTTACATAGCTCACTCAGTTTGGTCTAGTAGGGATTGAGCCGTGACCCAAATCCCCAGTTCACAGCAGGGTGAGGGAGGAGTGCAAATCTGTCCTCCCAGCTGCTTTGACATGGGGCTGCTTATTCACTGCTCCTCCAGAGCAACTCAGAGAAGTGCAACGACTGAGCTACACAACGCTGGGCAAGTGGAGCAGCAAGTGGTTAGCAGGGTATAAAGCAAAAAATAGAGCATTTCTTCGGTTATGGGAAGTAAGAGATTTACAGGATGTATCTCCTCCTGTACAAAGGATCCACCAAGGCTGTGGTCATTTATCCATGCTCTTTGCACAGTTGTTGTCCTTGAAGGTGTTTTTTAAGCGCCATTAAGTGTTCTTTCAATCTGTGGACAAGATGTAATTAAATGCGATGGTTGTTCCAATGACAGTTCTTTTAGCCAGAAAGCAGTGAGCAATCAAAACCCCTTGCTGAAGGAGACAGATGGGAGCAGAAGTTGCCACCCAAAGCAGTGGGTTGAACAGCCAGGCTTGTACAGAAGCTGAGCCACAGGAGCAGAGTGGGGGTTCCTAGAGAAAACTCCCTGCGAATTAGTCCTGTCCTCCTGCCCCCCAGTACGGTCATGATTATTTAAAAAAAAGGGGAATACCAACCATTACATCTGTACAAACACGCAACAGGAAACCAAATTGTAAAGACACCAGGAATCAGGACCAGACCCTTAGTTTTGTTTGTTCAGATATCAACATCCACTGAACAAAGCCCCCATCACTGGCTGTAATTGGTAGGGCAGTAAACATCCCCAGGGCAATGTGGGAGGTGAATAGGGCAAGGTGTTTGGAGAGCAGAACTTGATTCTCTGGGATCCCCTACTGTTTCAGGAACAATTTGTGAACTTGTGGGAGCAGGGCATTGCTAAATTAGTCTGGGGAAGAGAAGGGTCGTGCAAATATGGCCTGGTCATCTCAATTCACTCTGGCATTTCACTTGATGTTCATCCTGAAGTTCAAGCCAGGAAGCAGCTGAGGAATCCATTCAGCTATAAGCTCTTCTCTTTCCTCCCAAAAATATTAAATAACCAGAATTTCACTTGCAACCAGAAGTGCCTGCTGTTCCTTGTGAGCTGTGCAGAGCAAGACATCCTTTTCCCACCACCAATGACAAAGGAGTTGTTTGTTTGTCTGTTTGCTTTAATGATTAAGCATTTATCCTACGGGGATTTTCTTCTTTGGAGGTTAGGATAATGGAATAGACCGGTTGTTTTGTTTGTGTTTTGTTGTTTTTTTTTTTTAACAATTCACCTGATGTGGTTCTAATGTTCACACATCAGCTCAGTTCTTGAATCTCAGGCAGTGGTTAAACATCATATAAGACACCATCCTATAACACATCTGCATACGGTGCATCATTAGCACTTAGCACACATTTATTCAGAAGAAACAAGCCCTTGCAAACTCTGAATATCCCAGCTTCAAAAAATCTGGTAGAGTCTCTTTTAAAAATCTCCATCAGGAGATTTCCCTCAGTGCTCTGAGAGCCTTCAAATCATTCACAAATTAACAAGCATAGCGTATTAACGAACTGAATAGCTTAAGATGTGCATGTGGTCTTGCCCTCCACAGGGCTGGGGGCAAACTGTGCCTTTTTGCATAAAACCATATAGGAAAGGAAAAGACAGAAAAAAAAATACAAAAAGAGTAAGGCTGCAGGGAATTCAGCAGCACAATGTCCTCCAGTGGTCTTCCACTGTCACAGACAGCCTAAAACTAAGGCGAGAATTATATTTTGTCTTTAGTGATCCAAACAGAGGAAAATCTGTCTCTTCTGCACTCTGTATGTCTCTGTAGTGTATCAAGTGTTGCCATGAAACACAGCAATAAGATTAATAATAACAATATATATTTGTTGCTACAAATACAGTCTTTTGCATCAAGACCTCGAGGAAGTTAATCACTTCGGTAAATATTTAAGAACATGCTGAAGCCAATGGGATTTAGGTGCTTTCCCTCACTGGGCCCTCGATATGTAAATATTAGCTTCTATTTGATTTGTTCCCAAAATCAAGAAAGCAGTGGATAAGTGAATGCAGGACTGTTATTTGCCATATCCAGCAACACTACAAGCAGGGCCACTCCTTGGAACTAGAAACAGTTCAAAACTTTTCAGAAAAACTACTTTTTTACATGGCTGGTAATGATTTTCTGGAATCCGTTCCTGCCTTGTCTTCTTTACTGCCCCTCGTGGGAGAGAAGCAATGTTGCTTACCTGTTAATCTGTCTCAAACCCCAGCTATCAACATTCCCCAAACTAGGGAAACTCACACAACAAAGGGGAGATGTATGTTACTGGACAGAAATGTGAAAAAGGGAGTCGCTTTAGGAAAAATAGAAAAGATACCGAAAGATAGATATAACATTTATCTCCCCCTCTCCTTTTTTTTTTTTTTTTTTTTTTCTTTTGGGGGGGGGGAAGGAGGTAATGGGACAACGAACACACTAAAAATAACAACAACAACAAACCCTGAAACCAGTTTGCTCTAGTTATGATAATCCAGGCATAACATTTATATGAGAACATAAAATACAGCACACAGCTGTAAGTAAAACAATATGTGTGTTCCTGAATAAGGGGAAAATAGCTTGCCAATAAGGATATATTTTGAGCAAATGAAAGATGACCTGAAATTGACTCTGGAGTAACAACTCGATTACTTATAAAAATAGGAGGTAGGGGAAAAGAAAAAGGGAGAGGAAACAGTGGTTGAGAAGAGCTTATGCTATGTGGTATTTGATGTATTTACTTTGAAAAGTTTCCTTTTGATGAATAATAAAAACAATGCCGTAACAACCACCTTCATGCCAAAAAATAAGATTGGCTAGGGATTTTACAACTGATGTGGCTCTACTCACCCAGATTCTCTGTGTCAGAAGGCCACGTTTAAGCTCTAATGGTGCAATTGGACCAAAAGACACTGAATAAAGAATTACTCTGCAGGCAAAAGGAGAAATGAGCATGTGGCACGGTTCCTTGCAGGAGCCTTACCAGGTCTCCAGCCTGCAAATTGTTTCCATGCTGGTGTGCAGAGCAACACACTAGTGTGTCTTGGAAGAGACCCAGCATGCTCACCAGCTAATGCATTTATTTCTTTTAATATATAAGGTGAGATCAGTGTTCATAAAGTACAAGATGGGCAGCCTCGCTGGCTGAAACACTCTGCTGCCACCAGTGAGTGAGTCATTTACCCCCAGGCTCTGGGTTTTCCATACACGAGGCAGAGCTGTGAGGTGTAAGGCAAAGGTGGAGATGGGGGACAACACAATCCCATGCCAGGTTGCTGCTCAGAAAGCCTGGTCTGTATGCCTGCAAGGAGTGTTATGGTGCAGGGCCCTGGCAAATGCTGTGGGAGAACGGTATGCACATTTCCCTGAATATACCCAAGAAATGAATGCCTCGACTGCTCTTACCCACCTCATCACTCAGGGACATCAGTGCTAAGGAGCCTCTGCAGCTCCCTGGAGTCCCGTCTTCCTGTCGGTGCTGCATGCAATGGCTTTTGCCAGACTAGAACTAGTCTGAAATGAGAAAAAGAGGGAGAATCAACTCCTTTTACACCAGTATCAAACTTTTCTACAGTTACCTTTTGTGTGTTTCTTTCAACCTGCATTTGTGATCTTACTTCACCTCTTTGAAGTAAACACCACACTTATCCTTGTCTCTCTTCCCCTCTCCCGTGTAGTGGAACTTTTCCCTCCGCTGCTTCTCTTGTCTTCTGAATCTCTGCCCATCTCTCTCCCTCTCCTTCTAAGCCATTTCCTTATTTTTAAATATCAGCCTAAAAGCTGTGCTCTCTAATCTCTGAAGAATGCAGTATTAAGATCAATTGCAATGCACTTCTGCCTAGCTCAAAAGCTGAGGGGCTTCCTTGAAAAATATCTCAGACGATTGCTTTTATAGTGATGAGAGAGCAAAGTTCATGCCTTGTCCTGTTTTCCAGCTAATCTGATCTCACATGAAAGCTCTCCATGATACACAAAGAAATATTTACTATATGAATTTAAGCAACGTTTCCCGCTCTGCAAAAACAAAGTTGGTGTTTGAGCTAGGCTTTCTGTCCCATGGGTTTCTGATATACAGTGCTTTTAATGGCATCCTGACAGGTTTCTTCTTCACTTTCTCAGCTGGACCTGTTCACAGAAAATAGGAGGACCGAGATTTATGGATTTAAAGCAGCATTTTGTTGCTTTACATGACTAACTCAACAAAGGTCAAGCAGCGAGAAGCAAAGAATGGAGCAGCAAGTACAGATGCAACACAGAGAAGTGAGCCCGATAAATTTTTCCCTTGGAAACACTAGATAGAGGATTGCTTTTCCTTGGAGAACAAGAGTTTGAAACTGAGATGTCGCCACCATTACTGGGATGACTAAAATGTCGAGTGCAACTACTTCATCTTTAATACAGATCTCTGTCCACGGAGAGCAAAACCTTCAGAAAGCAATAAGCCAGCAGAAAGGCACAGTTATTAATCTGGGATATTTTATCTCTTTTCTCTGGATACATCTATTAGCTGTGCATGTGACTCTTTAAAAAAAGCCCTTTCCTATGTCCTCTTCTTACGTCCCCCTCCTTTGTTCTTTTATTGGTTTAAGCTGTAACTTACCGGGTCAAGAAAATCATTCCCATTTTTATTACAAGTCTCTATAAATAATAAGCCATACATATGTTAGGAGGAAGAACTAGAAATAATTATTTGCCAAAGTCTTTCTTTCCTATCAAAGAAAGGGCAGCCATCATTTGTGTGTGCGTTTTAATAAAATGGGTATTGTCATGTGCACTGAGCAAAGAAACGCCTCATCAGAAAAAAAAAGCAAATGGGAAGAAATCTGTTGGCACCTTGACTTAAACGAAGCCATATTTTAGAGGGCTTTTCACTACTTGTTACTGGGGTGGGGGGGAGAGGGGTTCCTAGCCATATTCATTCTCAAATCACAGATGATCCCTTATCACTCGACTTGACATTAGGCTTTTTTATTCCATTTTATAGGAGGATATGGTCTTTTTTTATATAATTCATTCCAGAAGCCTACCTGCACTCCATTTGTGAGGGAAGATGATGAGAAAAATACCTCTTCATGCAGCTACAACGAAACTGCTTTATCTATAGCACTAAACAGCAAACCAGCTCAGATGCAGAGCTGGGTTTTCTTTCCTCATCCCACAGGTTCAGCAGAGCATCTCACGGGTAAGGTCTGGGTACTGAGAAGCACTCAGAGGACAGTTGCCACCAGGGGAAGCACGGATGGGTCACTGCAGGCTCTGCCCACTGGTGCAAGCTCACTCTGTATGGGGTTGCAGGGAAGAGTTGTGCTGGCTGGCAAACACTGCAGACTCCGGGAGGTTCGAGTGTTCAAGCATGTCACACAAGGGACCCGTGAGCTGAGTCCAAGGGGGAGGACAGAGAATCAAGGAAGGGAGAGGGGAGGGAGGAGCTGGGGAGGAAGATGGGGAAGATGAAGGAGCTGCAATATTGTAAACTCCCTCTGGGGAATCTTAAACCAGGGTGAATGCCAAACTCCGCAATGCCTGTACTGGGATGGGACTGACACACACACAAATCCTTTTTATAACTGCTCTAACACAATACATCTTTCTTCCATGGTTTCATTCTCCATTCTTACAAACACATCCTGCAGTGGCTTTTCTTTCTCACCAGCTCTTTGGCATTCCTGTTCAAACATCCCCTTCACTGATATCTCTTCGCCTTTTCTTCCAACAACACTGATAAGGATCCACCCGGTTTATGCATTACTTCAATCCTCAAGCCCACAGCCAGCACTCTTCCTGAGTCGGCACCTGTTTAAACCACGAACTTTAACGAGGTTTGCTGCTCAGGTGGTAAATCTTTCCCTATTCTGCCCACCAGCCACCCTGGGGTATGCAGCCCAATGGTAACTGCAGAGTTATGTCCAAGTAGATCTTTGTCTTTCTGAGAGTAAGTCTCTGCCCTCCCGCCTGCTGCTATGCATCACATTTATTAAGCTTCCGAGCACCGTTCAGGTAAGCGAGTTTCTGTGCAGAACCACACAGCGTGTTGCTTCAGCATTGCTCCACTGCCTTTTTATTTTTTTATTTTTGTTAAATACACCACTTTCCGACACACACATTGTTGCTACGTTGTGACAAGCTTTTAACTAGCAAGGAAGAAGCTTTCACAATCGCCTTTCTGAAAAGGCTCCAATTTATTTCTCATAAAGATCCTTGGGATAAAAAGCAGATTAATGTTCAGAAGAAAGTTAAATGAAAAATTGAGGCTGCTCAGAGGGAGATGTTAAAGGCTGACTGGCACAAAAGGGTACTTTCTGGCAAACTTCTCGAAGCACTAAAAGAAAAGGGTCAGGAGTCATCTGCTTAAGTAATGATCTCCAAGGCAAAAATATTGGCTGGCCAATCCCATAGCTACAATGGACTATTATATGTATGTTCTATAGGCTGAATGCATCAATTATACTCATCATGTGGCTTCTTGAACATGCTTAACTTGCTATTTCCTTTTATTCGATGTGATAGCACATAAATTAATACAAAGGCATACATGAGAGCATTTTATACCTTCTCTCCTCTGTTTTAAATTTTGAGGGTCAGTGGTTTCATAATGAATAATTTAAAGGGGAAAACTTCCAGAACCGAGGGGGGTGGCAGGGTACGTCTGTGTCTGTGAGAGAAGTTCTGTCCACTAAACACACTTACACAGGATGAGAAACAGCTTTGCCAATCAATACAGCATCATAATTCCTCTCCTAACAGGAAATGAGGACTCAGTACAATACTGCAGTTTTAACTTTAATGCAATTTAAAAGGAAAAAAATCCAACACCAGATGCTCATCAGAAGACTATTAGATGTTATTACTATATGCTATTTCCCCGAGGAACTCTCACGGTTAAAAATCAACAATAAGCAGCAGCATATACCTTTTTATAGTGAGCCCCTTCAGCTGTAGTTCAGTTCAGAGGTCTGACAGGTCAAAAGACTCATCACAAGTTTGATTATTTCTCAATAGGCAAGCTGAGATGAGGATAATTGCTATGTTTTCACAAACCTTCTCACCGCAGAGGCCCTCTTGCTCTCCTTCCTTCAGGCTGATGTAACATGGCTCAAACACAGCTTTGTGTCCTGTTTCTCTGCTGTCCTTTCCTAGACACGTTTGTGGTTTCATTTCTCATGAAGGACCAAACACCAGATCATCCACATGCAAGTTACCTCCTGCAGAAAACCACCAGCACGCCACAGCCAGTAGGTATCTGTCTGGATATCAAGGATATTCTGCATATCCAAGGAGGAGATCATTTAGGCTGCAAAGCCACTGCAAACTGAAATCAAGGGAAAGCTACTTGACGGTTTCTTGGAGGTTAAGTCAATGATTTACCAAAAGTGAGGAACTCCAGAAGTGAGGAAGGGTGGTCAGAGTACAGAGCTCTTGGAGTCCCTAAAGGCTCAGGTGACTTTTCTTGCTCTACTGCAGCCTTTTAGGGCCCATCACTCAACAGCAGCAGTCTTAAGGACTAGCAACGTTACATGAAACAGGGACAATGGTACCTCTGTACCACATAGCCACAGGGACACGAGGCATTCAAAACACAGTGATCTTAGAAGAGCCTTACATGGACATTAAAAATTATTAGATTTCCTTTTAAGCTCCATGTACTCCAAAAAGAGCAATATGGAGCAAAATTTAAGAGCAAGAAGAGCAACACAACAATTCAGTTCTGAGTTAGAAGACAGCCTTAATTCACAAATACAGATCTCAGGCCTCTGTAAGATCTGCGGGATTTAAGCAGCAGTCATACTTCATCAGTTCACATTTCTTTTCCTCAGCCTTCAAATAAACATGAAACATACTGACCCAGGAACCTGGCCTCCCGTAATCGGAGGGTAGTGCACTGCAAGACAAGGAAACATTGAAACTTGTTGAGGTTTGAAGAAGAAGGAGCCAGGACTCTCAGCATCCCTGCCCTAGGTATAGAAGGGCAGAACAAAGACACCCTTCTCAGGAGCTGGAAACAGCACTACACATCTAGCTAACAAAGTAGATAGGAGGAAGAGTTTTGTGGTGTTGAAGAAACATCCAACAAGGCTTTCTCTGAGGAGGCTGGTGTTCAAATAGCACCAGCTTAATTTTCACAGCAGACATCTCTAAGCAGTCGGCTAAGTAACCTAAATGCTGCAGTGAGAGTGCTGAGAATCTTCTAGGAAATTAAGCCAAACAGCTACAGCACCACATCACTATGGAGTAATTGAACACTTTGATATGATAATTGATTATCATGCATTGATTAAAGCAGGCAAGAGAGCATACACTCTCCAGATGACTTTCAAATTACAAAGCCACAAGCTTCAAAGCTTATTTGGATTCACACAACAAAATACACTTTGTTATTTACAATGAAAAAAAAAAAAAAAAAAGTATCCTCGTAAATGCAGCAAGAATTTTAAAACAATGAGTGGTAAAATGGCACAACTTGAAATAAGGAACTAATCAATGCTATCAAAATGGCTTCAATCTGTCCTGAGGACTCTAATCATTTCCAGATGATAACATGGGACTGATTGGATGTCTCCGGCAGCAGTTCTTATCAAGGCCTGATTATAACAACTACAATAGGAAGAAGAAAAATTGGTTGGTACAGGGTGGTTAAGCAGGCCTGAGGAAATGTGCAAACAGTTGTTCAGTTCGGCGTAAATCTACCTGATCTGGTGCATGCAAGGAAAAGCAGCACCTGCTTTTGGTCATTTCCAGCCATGCTTAGATGCCTTTCATAAATTCAGCCTAGCACACGCTGAAGGAGTTTTACTTCACGGTAAGAGCAAACCAATCTGCAACCACCTGCAATTTCAACAAACCAGCAAATCATTACCAAAGCATCTTAACTTGCTTCTTCGTTTTAGATGCCTTTTCAAGCTCTTCTTAATTACAAATGATTTTAACTGCCATGATTCCACCTCTAGAGCTGTAAGGGAACTACGCAGTTATTACTACTTATTTGCATTATTACTCCAGACAGCAATCAAGACTGTGTTTTCCCTGGCATCGTTAAAAACTTTGCCAAGATATGATCCTGCTCAAAGAGCTTTATCTAAATCTGCGTGACCAGAGCCAACAGGTGGCCGCAACAGAGCAACCAACAGCAGCAGAAAAAAAAAAATCACAGAGCTCAAAGGAAAGCAGTAGGTTCAGGACAAAGTCAGGCCTTTAGTCCTGTAACTACAGCACTACATTTTGGGGCTGAAACCTGATGCCAGAACATGCAGCTCATATCACTCAAAAACTGGAAGCTAACCAGCTTTGCTGAAGAGTTTCTGTAAGGTTAACCACATTTCCTTAGGCAGGCCCTGCATTGCTCAGTTGTTCATGTTATGTCAGAGGAACAGTTCCCTGCAATATGGCTTCGAAGGAACAAGGTAAAATCGGGTGTCTAGAGCCAGGCTGGGACTGATTTGTATGGGAAAATCAAAACAAAGCTCAGGATATACAAAGTCATCCAAAGCAAATACAATTGAGAACTAAGAGAGGCAAAAGCACAAATATTTTGCAGTGTGTTTAAGCTGACTGCACTTGGGCTGACCACACAGAATGCTGCTTCGAAGTTAGGGGGTAAGTTAAAAATTTGCTTTGGCACGAGAGGTGAGACAAAAAGAGGAAAAAAACATTTTTTTTTTAAAAGGAAGGAATATTCCACTCATGAGAAACATTAACGTGTCTAATAAGAACTTACTGCTGGTGGCTTAGTGTGACCCTAACCAGTTACCTCTTTGTTTCAGAGGTTTGGTCCATGGAGTGCCACTCCTCAGACAAAGAAACAGTGACCTTCACGATGTCTGATGAGCCAGAGAAGTTTGGCTGTGAGAGGAAGCTTTTTCAGGGTGAAAGAGAAGGTTGACACTCTTAAGGACAGAAAACAGTATAATCTTTAAGTACATGTACTCCCTATCTTCACTATCTGAAGTTTAACTCATACATGCCAGAACAGCATGAGAACTTTACTTAAATCCACACTTCTGGCTTGATTGCTGTGTTCAGTGGAACCTTTATAAAATTACCTTGTGCAGATGTGACTGCAGAGAAAGACACAGTCTCCAGTGTCATCACGGGGCAATCCTGGTAGTGGCAACAGCATGACACCAAACAGCCAGGGGATAACAGAGGCTAACCACGTCAGGTGGTGTTCTCCACCAGGACCCAGTTGCCTACTGGTGTGCAGTGATGGGAAGGAGAATCCACGCTGCAGCAGCTTGCCCTATTCAACCAAAGGAAGAATATGCCTTGTGTTGAGAACCTACCAAAACTTTCTCCCTCCACACTTGTTTTAGTCATGTCTTCTGAAATATTAAGTGAGCAAGGATCTGCATATAAACAAGATAAATACCTCAGTCAGTCCTTTCAGCAGTCACCGTGTCCCAGTCTCAGGGAACATGTAAGCCCCTTCTCTGAAAATAGAACAAAATCCAGCATACAGGGACTTACTTCTCACAATTATTGGCGTATTTTTAATCAAAAGCATCACACGCATTGCAGCAATTAAGTGCATGAGTCACGGATTGCGCTCATTTAGAACGGCTCCCACTTCATGTTATTGCTCACCGAGACCACAAAAGGTGCGTGGCAAGGAGGAAAACTGTCCCAGGAGCCATGGGACAGATTTGTAGGCCAGGCTGTTTGCAAATGCACCTGAGTTGTCACCCAGGCTCACACCCTTCTCCTCCTCCTCCCCTCTCTAATGGGACTGCCAGATTCCCACCTGAGATGCCGCTGTTGTGCCGCCTCCTCCCTGGGAGCGTAGGCAGCACTGTAAAGGAGGCTGCTTCCCTTTCCCACCCTTGTCTTTACAACCCCATCCTGCTGTGGGAGTACCTATGGAGCAATAAACGCAAAGCCTGTCCCACAGGGCCTGAAGAGCCTGTTGTGCTGTTCAGGGGAGATGCAAACCTGCCTCCCCCGTGTCCTGTGCTGAAAACCCATTATGGTTATGAGGTTATAAGTGTGTATTGCTATGCAGGCTGAAGAGGAATTAATGCAGCTGGATTTAGAAGGACAAAGAATCTGATGTTCTACTATGATCAATGGTCATTGATCCAATGTTAATTAGTAAAAAAAAAAAAAAAAAAAGCACATATACTTATAAAATACTGGAATTACATATAATCCCCTGATTATTCATTCTACCTTAGTATTGGTTCCTTGATGCATTTGACCCCACTTCTAGCAAATATTTCTTATTAAAAATCCTAAGTATATTTAAAACACAATGAAAGGTAAGCAAAGATGCCATCTCCTTCTGTCTTTGTTTGTCTTAGCACTGTGCTTTGCATGAGGAGATGCTTTGCATGAGAAGCTTTGCATGAGCTTTGGGATTTCAATCCCTACTGTTGTCTCATCTAATGTAAACATCTGAAAATGTATAATCTTTTCTTTAATAAAGCTTCTTACAGACCTCTCAGAGTTGATTGTGTCTTGTGAAAGTGAGTTCCATGAGTCAGTTTCCTGTGTGAAACAAAATTTTCTTTACATATTCTCAGTGTCCTGTTTTCTATTCTCAGAAAGTTTCTCATTTTGGTTTCTGTATGAATGAGTTCTTAGAATGCCTTGTTAACCTTGTCTATGGGTTTCTTTCATATGCGTCTTTCTTACCCATTTCCTTTGTCACCAGACACAAACTTTATAATTCTTCACTGAAATGAGCAGTGCATGGGAATTATACAGCTCCAAGTGGTGTACCTGGTGGTATTCACAAATCTTGCACAAGGCCATTGATAACAGCAGCATGTAGTGACTGTCACAGACAAATACCTGGACCTGAATGACTGTGGAGTACCTGTCAACAAGAAAACATTTTTTTCACCATCTCTCTTATTCTCCTCCTCTTCAAAACCCTCAGTACCTGGACCTCCTCCTGTTTTCCACGCCCAGCTCAGCTACAAGAGGCTCTGCCAGCTCCACAGTGCAGGTCTGTTCCAGCTGACAAGGGGCTGTGGAAGGTGTTGAGCCCCTGCAGAAAGAAGCCCAGTCAATGTGCATCAGCAAATTAGCTAGACATGTGGCATAGGTCAACACACCATTGCTGTAAGAATCAGACAGAGCCAACAAGGCAGGTAGGAAAAATGAAATCTTTGAAAGTGGTAGAGGAACAAAGTAGAGCAAATTTCTTATGGGGCCTGGAGGGGCATATGGATGGAAAGGGCAGTTTTGCAAAGTTGTAAATTCCAGAAATAACTGAAAGACAACAAATAAAAATAATAATAGTAATAAATAATAAAAATAAATAATATTTTAAAAAAATCTCCAAAACCTTTCCTTCGAGCCGGAATTGAACCAGCGACCTAAGGATTTCTTTCTACAGACAGCCTACAGTCCTCCGCTCTACCAGCTGAGCTATCGAAGGAAGATGAAGAAAGAGTGCCAAGAATGAGTCAAGACTACATCAACAATAGCCTTAGGCTCTAATGGACCTCCATATGCATTGCTTCTCGCAACAGCAAAACAGTATCAGAAAAAAGGGCACAAGGCTGGATTTCCCTGCACAATTGGAGTTTGGTTACAAAACTGCCAGGTTTCTGCCAAATAGTTCGCAGCTCTTGTAAGGCTGTTGCTAGTGGTAGCATTAAGGTTGGAACTCCTGTGATGACCCATATGAAATCTGCCTACTGCTTGACGAAGTAATTTGCCTACTCTTCTGTGATCTCGCCACATTTCCTAAACTGAGCTAGGAGAACAGAGAGAACTCCCCTCCACACAATTCCCCACAACAGTTCTCCAGCCAAATCCTATAACAAGTTAGCCAAAAGAAAATAAAAATCAGTTAACGTGCTCCCTGACAGCTTCCAGGGTGAAAGCAGAGGAATGAAGGAATAGGATGTAAAGCAAGATAGGATAGAATAGGATGTAAAGACACTAAGGTTTTAATTCAAATCCCACCAGCTCCCACAGCCCACATGAGACCTCTCATACACAGATGAGCTGCAGCGTCTGGTGTTACTGCCCCAGTGGGATACCCAGCCCCTGGGCCTGGGAGGTTTGAGCCTTTGTGAATCATCTGAGTGCTGCAGCTCACAGAGATGGCAAGCAAAAGCAAACTTCCCTCTTTTTGAACCGCAGTGATTCACGAGCATCTCAGCTGTCTGAAAAGCAGGGTGGGGTAGAAAGCTGTGAGCAGACACTCTGTTTGCTGAATGCCACCCTACTTGTGATGGAAGCGTGTGTAGCCGTGTTACCTCGGTGTCCTGACAGTATACCCCTCCTTAACACATGCTTACCTCCTCTTCTCTTTGTTATACAGCCCCAGGCACTGGTCTGTTTTAGCAAGTGTGTAGCCACAGGCTGAGGGAAGTAACTTTTGCCCCGTGTTGACCATTTGTCAGCCTGTTTTGGAATCTCCATACGTGGAGATATTTAACACTTGATTGGATGCACTTTGAAGTCATACCCTGTCTGGACCAAGAAGTTGGACCAGACGCTCTCCAGAGGTCTTTACCAACCTCATTTACATGGTGTGGGTCACCCCTTCACCACATACTCAAAAGTGACTTCACAGAGCAGAAGAACTCACAGCAAAACCATCATCACGTACTTCTCTGTGCGGTAAATACAGCTTTTTGCCTCACAATCACACTCTTCTCCCCACCTCACCCCCCACCTTTTATTTATTTTCGTACTAACAAACATCTTAGGCCTCCCTTACACAGATCTTTATAGAAATTAAATAAATTAACTCCCTGATTATGTTTATGGGAACACAGGAAGGGCAGGAAATATTTGCCTTACATGTGAGGTGCTGCGGTGGCTTCTCAGAGGCCTCATCCTGGAACCTGCCATTTACCAGGACATTCACACACACAAACAAATATCAGGTCATCTCATGATGTGAAGAAAAATATGGACAGAAACAGAACTGCTGGATGCCAGCAGGGCAATATCTGATCTCTCGGGGGTCAGATGGCCTTGGTGAGAGGAGGTCTGGGAGATACCCATATGCGAGAATGCAAGGCTAATCTTGTGCTGGAGAAAGAATGGCACAACAGATAACACACACAACCGTGGATCAGCAAGCTCCTAAATCAGAGCAGATAGTGTGGCCCCAGGGCTTTAATCTTTTCCAGTCTCCGGACCACACAGCATTTTCCAGGGGCACTTCAGGCTCCCTTCATGCAAATTTAAGCCTATTGTCATGAGCCTGCCTTATCTGAGTTACCTTTCACATACCCCTTAAAAATAATTCACCAGTCCCACCCATGCACTCAAAAGACCCCCAAAATGAAAATCACGGCTCTATTCAGTTTAACTTATTGGCACTGTCATCTAATCCAGTGGTGGGGCACCAAACACGGACTTTGGGGGAAGTATCACCATTTCTTTGCTGACAAAAGTTGTTACTGGGTAAGATAACCCTAAACCACTTGTTCTTTCCTATAAGAAATCAGTGGCAGTTAAGTCAAGACAATAATTCAAATGGAATCAGATATCAGATAAAAAGTGGATGCTGTTACTATCTATGCATGAACAAATGGGATGCAGAAACCACAGTGTTGCCTTGACAATATAAAGCACTGGAGTTCTCTTTTTTTTTCTGGAACTTGCTAGCTGTGGTGCATGGGTGATTTGTGAGAGATAGACTCCTAAACTACAAGTGTACCCCCCAGGGCAGCTTTTCAAAGTAGATATTCATAGGGAAAAAAAAAAAAAAAAAAAAAAAAAAAGAATTAATTTTTTCTTCTCTTTTTTTTTTTTTTTTTTGAACTTGGTAGGCTTTGAATGCTTAACAGAATTAGATTCTGGCATGGAGATCATGAAAGATCTCTGATTATTCCAATTCTTTTAACTGATTAAATGAAGATACCAAGCTCTGAGAGTCATGTGAGCAGAGCCCTGAGCTATATAAAGGGAACAGCTCACCTGTTTCATGTTGTGTAGAATAAGATGAAAGGAAAGGATGTAGCTTGAAAGCAGGATGGAGAACAGCCAGAGGTAAAGCTCCTAATAGCTGGACTGTACAATTAGACTTGGTAATACTATGTGTTTTGTTAAGCTTCAATTAGCATATGATGGTCTCCAGTGTTTTGGATGCATAGACTGACTTTCTAACATGGCTTTTAATGGCTTAAAGATGGTTTTCTCCAATGAAAAGCTTTAAAAATCTCGTTGATTCTGAGAGACTTTGAGGGCTGTTTTCTCCTATTTTAAGGCAGAAAGAAATACATTCCTTAGATATGAGCATTAGATGTGAATTGCAATGAATTTGTGAAGTCTTTATGTTCACTTTAATTCTACCTGGTCTGTTATACAAGCCACCAGTCAATTGCTGTGGTTTCTGCACTGCCAACTACTGATGAATTTAGGATATCTCAATATGACAGCCTTGTGTGACACCTCTGCAGCAGAGGAGGAGGTTTTAAGTACTGCTACTCACAGCAACTTGAATAAAGAGTCTGAAGCATCAGTGAAGCAATCATCTCTGTCCACCTACCTGTTGAAATTCAAGATAGAAATCTCTTTGGGTCACACTAAGACTTTGTACTTAAAGGCTGAATAGCAGCTGGCATAACAGACCCCAGCCCTGCCTGGTGCCCCCAGGCTCTGTTGTGATGTAAATAATATGTACAACTCTTTGGGCCAGCTTCAGAGATAACTTTAATAATATCTCAGTGTGCGTGAATGCCAAGGGGCAGGAAGGTGGGAATGCAGAAGGAAAGGAACTGATGGGGGTTTCATACAAAGGCAGTTTGATTGCACTAGCAGTGTGGGCTGCATTTCAGGAAATGCAGAGTTTATAGGCCAAAACTTATGTTATTTGTCGTGCTCAGAGAACTCACTTAGCACTTCTGGTGCTACACTGCTATCAGTAATAGACATTCAGAAGTAAGTATCTTACAGGTATTCAAAATCTGAGCTTACACTTGCTTATATATGCTTATACTTATATATGTTTATAGCTTAATTTTGCTATGTAATAACATTTTAAGTCTGGGGTGGACTTTAATGCAAAAATATTTCCTTTACAGCTAAATTATATTAGTTCAGTACTTTTCATGTGTATGACCAGTTCCATAAGCAATTAAAATAAAGAAACTGCAGTTTCTGTGGCAGTGCTCAGACATCAGTCAGACAACCTCTTCCAAGTGTTATCTCTGGAGCTGGCCCAACAGTTCAGCACCAGTCACTATTAGCAATTACACAGGTGCCTGAGAGCTCACCCCACCAGTGGGCCTGGAAAGAGGTAGTCTGTATGTTAATTGTCGAAGTGTTCTTCAAGGAGTTAAACACTCAGCCCTGCGAGTTAAGCTGAGAAATGCAGCGAGTAGCATTCCCGTCTTCTCCCCCACAGAGGGTTCCAAGTCTTGCACTTCTCCTGGTGAAAGACAAGATTAATAATGTGTGAGCTCTTCTGAGATGATGATCAGCCCAGAAAGTTTTGATAATTGGGTGGCAATTAACCACTGTCAGAACATGACATTATTCAGACACAACGGACTAGTGCCTAGCTGCTGGAAATCATAAGTCATCGGAGAACCTGACCCCTGTCTATTTTAGCTTAGTTTCCATTCAATGATTATCACGTTGGACTTCTTTTAAGCAAAAGCTCAGCTAATCGCCAATAGGCTCTCTGTTTAGGTCCTGGTCTCATCGAGATGGCAAGGCAAATGAGGGTATTTCTGACAGACGCTTTGTTCTTTCCAGCCTCGTGTCTTTCCGCTGCATGTAAATATTGCTTTGTGACAGCAGTTGCAAAGGTTGTGGTCTTCCCTGCAGGTTTTGGTGTCAATGAAACCCTGCATCATCTGGGGGAGGGCGGCAGCATGGAGCACAAAAGCAGCAGTGTTTGGGCTACCAGAGAGCCTGCTGCCTCCTGCGGCCGCTTCCCCTCGGGAGGCAGCCCTTCCACCCGGCCAGTTTCCTTTCCCTTCTTCATCAGGCCTCTCAAACTATAAAAGCCCTAATGAAAATGAAACACGCATGTCATATATAACAAGGAGAGGCTCAACTGCTAGGGAAAAAAAAGTGTGAAATTACAGTATCAGTGTGAGAGGGAGAGATATGAGCCCTCATTCCCCAGGAGAGAATTTGAAAGTGCATAATTTTTTCCATTCACAAACCACATTTAAGGGGCAACTTTTGGAGGCTGAGAGGAAGCACCACAAGAAAAACAGAACAGTTACGAGAGAAGCCCTAAATATTCGGGACCCTTTTTTAATCCACCAACTTGGTTTGGCATGGAGGGGCGTGCACGCAGAGCCCTGATGAACAGGCATAGTTCCCAATAGGTTGTTCCCCCCACAGCTAATGCTTTTTCTATCCTTCCTGAAGACCAAAAAACAAATCCTTCAGGGGTCACAAAAGAAAGAGAGTAGACTATAGCCCTTTGGCTGCTGTGTTGGCTTTCCTCTTCATGGGAGAATTTAGCAGTCCTGTGTAAGGAGGAGCCTTGCCTGTGTTGGGTCTGGCTGTGGCAGGAGTCTCTCATTCATGAGAATCTAATTTACTTTTAAAGAGCACTTTAATATAGCATAACAATATTACCACACATCTTGCTCAAGCAAAGGATTTTTCCAATCTATATTCACTGCCATATAGAGTGACTATAAAATGAGTCACTGTACCTTAAATTTTTGCCTTGGCTATGGTGATAGGAAGCTAATTAGACAAACTGACCACATCTTCTGGACCCAAATCCACATTACTTGGATTCATAAGAATTATCAGCTGTGTGGGAGCTTGTGCTTCTGGAGGTAGTTGGACTTAAAAGAAGAAATAACAGGTAAAGGAGCAAAGACCAATGGCCACTATGGGGCCTAAACTAGTAAAGAAGCAGTATTTAAACTCTTTTTCAGCTAAACTTTAACACCTCACAATGTGGCCAAAATATGTTCGAAGCATGTCTGAGGCATGAATGCTGGACTCAGACCACATGTAAAACTAAGCTCCAAAGACAGTTTGGCTTTTCCAGGTTATTCATAAACTGCAAAGAACCAACAATTGGAGCCAACTGCACATAATAATCTTAATAGAGCTGACTGTATTTTTCATAGCCCATGAAGTTCTTGACCTTCAGGCAAGTTTTGCAGGGTGGCAAGAGACCTGGACCTCCTGGGATTCAGTAGACCAGAGAATAAGAGTTTAAAATCTGTGCTTCAGTTCAGCCACCAAAATCAGAAACCTTTGGTCAGGTAGGGAGACCTACTGTCTTAAAAATATCATCTGTCCTGCTCCCTTCCTTATCAGAAGTCATGCTGCAAACTATGCCCAGATATTATCTAGTCCTCTTTTCTGGTATTTTTAACTCTGCACCAGATCCAGACATGTCAGATATCATTATGTATCAAAAAAGGAGAAAGGACAAGGTTAACATCAGATTTGTTTCCACGTGGAAACACCTCTTCTGAAAGGGATGAACAAACTTCAAAAGATTAGAATAAACACCCAAAATAATGGCTGCATCCCTAGGAGCTGCACAGTCCTTCCTTATTCTTAGATTATGCTCAGCCAAAAAGGGGGCACAGCACAAAGAAAGGAGTTGGGCCAAGGGATAGTATCGCTACTATTTTGTGTGTATTATTTGTATCGCTACAGCGCTCAGGGACCTCAAACGGGGATTAGTGTCCCATTGAACTAAGCACTGTAAAAACAAACACCACAAAGACAGTTGCCTGCCCCTGAGAGCTAATCTTTGGCCACTTCTCTGCAGCATCTGGCTAGAGTAGGGCATAAGGAACTATATTAGAGCATACCGCATGGACTGCATGTAATCTTACGTCTGTAACCCTTGTCCTTCCTTATCCTACTGCCCCACTTCTGTTTGTTATCCTAACTCATCACCTCGATCTAAATTTAATTTGTGAGCTTCTTGTACAAAAGACTTTGTCTTTGTCTTTTTTTTTTCATTTTGCATGGTTCTCAGCAATAATATACAACGGAATACATGAAACAAGATAAATAGCCTTTTACCCTGAAGAAAAAGATAAACAATATATTTAAATATGCCTCAAGACATGTTGTGATTTTGTACCTCTGTAGTGCTTAATGTGTGTCAATGAGCAACATGACTACGTTGGCAATACATATATATTTTACGTACGGCAAAATAAATAAAGAAGTCTGGTTGACAGGTATATACACGCCAAACATTTCACTAAATGATATGTGGACAAAGGAGAATTGTCTGTAAAATAATTCCTACTGGTTGAATACAAAATAAGCTGCTAATATACTGCATTGTGATTGACAAATTGGATTTGCAGGTCCCCACCAAAAACAAAGGAATGTGACAAGCGTCAGGGCCATACAGCCTCAGCATCCCCAGGGCCTGGACAAAAATATGGGCATTCTCCCGTCTTCCAGGCCAGCTTCGTGCCAGCACCATCCTCTTCCCCTGCCTGCAGCCATGGCAGCTTCAGTTACAATAAGGGACCATTTGTTGGCAAAGGAGGGTGCCGTAGAATTGGCAGTTTCTGTCCGTTCCCAGGAAAAAGGGACTGCCTGGACAGAGAAGTCTGTAAGCCAACAGTGTCATGCAGCAGGGTCCAACAGCTCTGCCACCATCCATCCATCCTGAATCTTATGTAACCAGCTCATGTTCTAAAAAAAGGAAGAAAAAAAAAAAAAAAGTATTTGTTTAAAACACTCTATTGAAGAACTATAAACAACACAGCGTGTTAGTTTACACAGACTGAGCAGTGACGGTACAGCGCAATGTGAGGGTACAATTCACTCCTGCTTCCCCTCCAGGCTACAGGGATCTCGGCCTGATTGTCAGTTTAAAACACAGCAACTATTTCTGCGGGCTTGTAAACTCAAACTTACGCCAGAGACAGCGGAGCATATGGTAAAGACGGACTCCAAAGTAATGAAGGAGTCCCTCAAATATCACCCCGCCTCTTTTCACAAACAGCAGAGAAAGGGGGGGTCAAGGCTTTTTAAGGCACATTTGAAAATAAAAAAGAAAGAAAAAAAAAAAACGTGTGCAAACTGAAGCGAGTGAGCTTCCTTCCCAGGCCTGGCTTGCTGCACACTTGTGGACACGAGGGGTGAAGGGGGAGGGAGCCCCTTCACAGCCCAGCAGTCAAGGCTGAGAGCTATTTGGATTAGACGAGGAATTTCAAGTGGAAACCATCTGAATGTGTGTGTGCCTGTGTGAAGCTGAACTATGTTGAAAGAAAACAAATGACTTCTTATAGTACCTCTTCGAGGTCCAGTTCTAAAGGGGCATAAGTAAGCCTCGTTTTTCTTGCCTTAGCAAACTTAAATGGGACAGAAGCTCCCGTTTTTTTTTCTGTTCTGAATGCAAAGAATCAGGAAAAGCCCCTGACAGCAGCGTTATGAATGAACTGGCAAGGTACGCTGTAAGTCGGTTTGATGCTAAACAACAACAAAATCCAATTGCAGCCATTTTAATATTTCAGCTTCCTTCTTCACCCCTGCCAGGCTTCCTCAACATGTGACGAGAAGAATTCAGAGGGATGCTTGCCAAGTGCTTCCTGACCCAAATCCTAGAGGTATCCTCCATCTGCAGCAACAGACAGCTCACTGTGGTCTGTCATTACCTTCTGTTTGGTTTTCAACACCAGCTATCCTAGCTAATGAAAGAAGATGCAACCACTGAAGACAATGGTCAGACGAATGTTAGCAGCATTTCTGGGAAGCTTTGAGGAAGACTCCTCTGCCCTTGCACAGGCCAAAATATAGAACAGTAATAACAGTCATAACTGAGGCATGCATACACAAGCGTGCTGCTTTAGCAAACGAGGTGAGCTCAGCTGCTGTGAAAACAAGCCCTACAAAGTCTGGTGGAGAGGATTTAGGGACCAGAGATGAAGGGCAGAGCTAACTGTTCACTTTCTGTCACAGCACCACACCTACCTACCCGGCCCCTATCTGACGGCAATAAATTTCATTGCCTGAAACGGACAGGCTGTTAGAAATATGTTTCCTGTAGGACCGAGACCCAGCCCCACATCGATAATGCTCTTCTATGTAAATGTTTGCATGTGGCCCTTCACATCTAAGGTTTGTAGCAACGCATGGTATTTAGCCAAATGCCATTCCCCTAAAGGGCAGCATATTTTTGTTCTTATAATCTTGCATGGAAATTGAAATGGACGTATTTTAACATGGGAAAAGTAAACACGTTTCCCCTCAGCTAGGCACTGCTGTACGGCAGAAGCCACTGTGATGATGATGACAGCGGCCTGAGATTTTTCTCTGTGGATTCCTGACTGAGATTCTGAAACCACCAAGGAAGAAACTTCCCCACAGAAAAGTAAACCCTCAATTTGACACAGGCACATGGGCTCTGCACTGGGGATTGGATCTACTCAGCCAGACAATGCAGGAAGCGCTGGCCTCATCAGCAAAGCTCTGTCATTTTGTTCGTCATCAAGCCTCCCTATTTGATGTAACAAACTCCCATTTACCTACCGTGTAAACATGCTGTACTTAAAATGCTTGTCTGTGATAAACCATTCTCCCCTTTGAGGATCCATTAGGCCCAAGATGAATCGAGCCTAAAAAGCTATTTAGAGCTTTTGGAGAATTCTTTGGATTTCCAGCTTCACATTTCAGTTACTGCAATGTTTGTGTTAAGATGCTTGTCTGAGTTCTGCCCTGCAGGATTCAGAAGAAGAAAAATGTTCCTTTTGTACTGAACACAACCAGTAGGTATTTAGCTATTTTTTGTGTATTATGACAGTACCATCTGGCATTCATCTGCTGGGTACCTCAAGAGAATGTCCCCTTCCTACTTGCCTGTATGATGCCGGCCAAAATGATAGAGTACACCAAAGGTTAACTTCCTGTAATATGGTCTCTTGGCTTATCTTGAATAAGACAATAGATCCTTTATATTCTTAACTATGTGTCTCACATGTTCTCCTGCCTGCCTGGAAAATGGGGTCATAAGAGATTCTTATGGGTCAGACACTTCCTAATGCGAAGCCTGGGATAATGCTAGCGAACATAGTAACAACAATCTATAAGGCCAGCTGGCGGTGTGCATAGAGAAGGAAATATGAAATAGGAATGGATATTTGCCCAGTTAGATTTGCTCTGTTCCACTGAAATGCTTTGTACAGTGGAAGAATAAACAAACCACTGCTCTCAAAAGTCATGGTTCACCTGCTGACTCAGAAACTCATGTCTGTCAACCAGCGTGAGAGAGGCCAAGGGGACTATCTGTTTGGGTTTCTCTTTTGGTCTCAGCCTCATTTATCTTGTTAGTTCCAAGATCTCCATTTCATTCTTGAAAGAACTGTAAAGGAAGTTTGGCTCAGTCACTCACACACACACAATTATTTGATTATTTTTAAGCAAACGAGAAAGAACTGCAGTGCCAGCTCTTAGCATGGACCAGTTCAGATTGACTAGTTGAGCTGCTGAGTAATGTCTTAAAGCTATTTTCATCTTAGCTCCTTCCTCAAACAGCAGTTTCTACATCTCTTTTAGGATATATTCTTTAATACGCCCAACCTGCTCCTTGCAAACAGCCTTTTCAAGAGAAACAAGCCAGTCTCGAGCAATTAAGACCTATAGATCTCCCTTCACTTCCTTCAAAGCCATTGTGGAGGTGCAGCTGAAACCCATTAAATTCAATTGAGCCCAAATGGCCCATAAGTCATATGGAAACTTCCTCTGGGCTTTTAACAAAGAGCCTTGCTTTAAATTCCAAATTACAAACAAATTCAGTCTGTTCAGCTTTCACATAAAACATAAAAATTAAAGAAAACATACAGAGGAGAAGTTGCATCAGATCACAGGGAGCATTATAAGAAAGTACAACCAGTTACTCTTGTTCTTTAGTTACATTCTTCGGTAAGAAATGTCATATTAAGTCATAGCAATATTTTCTTTAGCCTGGAATGGAAGCACGCTTTATTCAGTGTATCACAAAGTCACACTCACAGCATTCACCACCCTATTCTCTCCTCTGACTTTTCCTCACAAAGGCTGAAAAAAATTTATAGTCACACATATATACACATTGCATATACATATAGAGTTCTGTTATATCATGTATATCTACCTAACTAATGTAAGCTTCATATATAATAAGTAAATATTAAACATTTATATACTATATACGTACACACACACTTAGTATTAAGTAGTGCTTTATCGTGTGTCTTTTTTTTTTTCAAGTTGACATTTTTAGCGTGGCTTTACACTGGAGCTTTCAATCTGTCTAATATTAGGGATCGATATACGTACTGTAAGATCATAAGTCAGCTGAAGACTGAAAAGATCCAAGCAGATACTGCACTTAAAAATTATACAGTAAAATTGTTCCATAATACATCTTTATTCAGACTCCCCGTGGGACTGGCATGCTGTAAAAGCCTTAGAAAAGCCTCTGTTTGAGGGTTAATTTCACCCTGAGGGCTCTGGGAATAACTGGAGGCCCAGATCTTTACGACTTTGTATCAATTAACGTTTTTACATTCTTTTTAATAAGAAGTTGATGAAAAATATCCTGCTCTACGTATTCTATTTGGCGCCTGAGTAACAAGTCATTAGAAGTATCTGAATCTTTTTTTAAAAAAGTGCTACGGAGCAATTTTTTTCTGAACATACCGTGCCCGGCAGGCAGCCATACGTGCATTCTCAGGGCACATCGAATGGAAACCATCGATGGAAGGAGCAGCTCCATTTCTCCTATCCCTCCTCCCAGCCCCGTGCTCTTGCTGCTCCCTCTGTACTGGCCCTGAGCTGCTTCAGCTCACTGGGCAGGCAGAAGTGCAGCTCAGCAAAAGGAGCAACCATTTCTCTGCCAGCTCATGTGTAGCGAGCAAGAAAGATGGTGCAAAGGAAGCAGGACTCTGAGGCCGTGAGCAGAGAGAGGAGAAGCAGGTCTGAATTTTGGCAGCAGCGAGCAATTAGAGCGGCTCATCTGTTTCACGGACCCACACCCTGGAAGACATTAGGTTTGGTAAACCAGCAAAAGGAAAAGGACAGCTGAAATGTGTTAGCCTGCACCTAAGCCAAAAACCAAAAAGTGCAATAGGATGAGGTCAGCATAGTATATTAACAGCCTGAATCTTGTTCCATTCCTTTCTCAGCGTCCCCAGAAATTCACTGTTGTTTGGACCTCACTCCTGGGACAACGGTAACATAAACTACACAATTTCTAAGGCTGTGTCTCAGGTCTGGGTGCCTTCGACAATTAATTTCACATCAATGAATGAAGTAACATCTACTGGTAAAATTTTAAGAGACAAAGAAAAAAAAATGGAAAAAAAAAAAAAAAAAGGATGCTGAAATACCTGTCTGGAAGAAGTATGTTCTCTGCTTTGTTTGTTTGTTTTTTTGGATTTTTCCTGAATTACTGCCACCACAGGAACACGGTAAATCTGAAGAAGTGTAGACAGGACACTTGGAATTTCAAATAACGGGGAGAAGGAGAGGAGAGTCGTTCTCTCTCCTCTGATTCCCCACTGCCAGGCAACAGTGAATTAAGACTGTCTGAGAAGCCAAGCATGCTGAAATCACCCCTTCTGGTGGATAAAAGTTATCTGAGGACAAATTCATCCCCGTAGCTGTAATACATTTCCCCTAAGCTTCACAACCCTGAAAACGACAAGAATTAAAGCAATAATAAAATCCCCCTAAAAACACGAGCCTGCATGCTAGCCCTGTAAAAGAAAATTCTCCAGTGCAATTGAATCAATGTCATTTAAGGGGAGAGGCGAGGAATCGCGGAGTGTCTGCGGCGCTCAGCACGCCACCAACTGCACCGAAGGCAGCTACGCCTATGGAGCCAGCACATGTCCCTCTCAAGCCTCCTCTGATCCAATTTGTCTTGGGCTGACCCAAATACAGGAAAATACCCGCACCAGTCACTGTTGGGATAGTTTCATTGACAAGCTAAGTCATGAGTACTTTTCAAAGCACTATTTTTTTTTTCCCTGAGCAAAAACCCTGACTTCTAATTTGAAAAAGGATTTAAAAGTGGTTGTGATTCATGGGGATTTATGGCCATTTCCCAGGGAGTTTCGAGCGCCTGGACTTTCTTCCCACAACTCCCAGGAAATGCAGTTAAAAATCTCCCACAGGTTGTTAATTCAGCCTGTTGGGGTTGGCCATGCAGGAGAGTCACCCGTCAGCCCCCGTGAAGAGCAAGATTCCTACGGATGCTACTCAAAGTCGCTCCCAAAACCAGGAGACGTGTCTGAAAACGCGGTGGTACTCAGCTGGCACTATCGGCCTCGCTCCATGATTTACTACTCCATTCCCTCGTGCAGGCATGACCAGCATTAACTTGGACAAGTTACACAGCACTTCACTTTCTGTGCGGTGCTAATTTATAGAGAAACTGGAGGCCGATGGAGCAAACTGGGTGCGGGGGGGCACACCACTCCCTTTAGGAAATGAGCATTCGGCAGTTTCTTAAGCCAAAAGCACACTGAGGACACCACCACATTTAACCTAAGAAGTATTTTGTATTAATCCCGATTTAGGCACTGAGATTTTCAGCTCTGACTGGTTCCAGCAAGTAATGTACTGAAAAGCCCTGGGTGAGGCTTTCTCCTTCGCCTCCCTCACGCAGAATGCACTTCCCAGAGCTCTCTAAATGTCAGTCCTTGAGCAATGTGTTTAATACACAAGAGATGGTTGCCTTGCACAAGTTGAAGGGGGAATCCTCTGCTTTTTGCTTTCTGGCTGTTTTATTCACCATTTTTTCCACTGCTTTATTCACCATTAACATTGCCTTTAGTGATAAAGCTAAAAAATCCCACCCTTGCTCATTATCCTGACAATATTTAATTCTGACAGTATTTTCCATATACTTCACGAAACATGCAACCCAGTGACTAATGAGGTATTTGCACATAAGGGCCATATACAGTAAACTGCAGGGCAATAAAAGTAAAGGAAGACCATGAACTGATCAGCCAGCTGTTAAAATGATGCAGAGTGTGTCTTTTTATATGTATTGTATTATACCCAGATGCTGACTAGAACTCAATCCTGAGTCCTTCAGCAAAGCTTTACCTAAAAAATAATAATAAAATAATTAAAAAGAAAAAAGATTGGTCTCCCTTTATTACACAATAGCTCCCTACTTTTCAAATCCTGATGAAAAGTTCACCTATCTTGTGTCTTCCTGCTTTCTACCTATCATGTAAGGAGAGTACTGTTTTGATTTTGTGTGTGTGATTGCGTCTGCTCCAGTGCTAAGCATCCTATCAGCATATGACCAAATAGCAAAGCTGACATTTTTGCCATGATTATCCATGAAATGTGTTTCCTACCTCTGATTTACAAGAGCCCTATTCATGAGAAATGATTAATAGCTCACTAGCACTGCCAAAAAAGCACATAAATCTAGACATCCTCTACACTACTGACATGCTGCTCATCTCATAGATGTGTTCAGATCTCTCTCCCTCTTTTCCGCTTATCTATGTCTGATCCCCAGTGGGCACAGGCTTGTGCTGATTAGGCAGTACAGTTGCTGACTGGGACAATCTTAGGCTTACATTACTGATGGCACCCAATTAGAGGTTGCAGAAAGCAGTGTCCTTCCTGGCTGGTGCGATACAAGCATGATTAAGTGTTAAATGCTCTTTAAATTAACAGGCAGCATCACCAAGGTGTCTGTTACAACTTACCAGTGTAGGAAGCCAGCCCCACTGCCAAATTTCCCTTATTTGCAGTAAGTCTCCCAGACAGCAGACTAATAGAGCTGAGAAGAGGGCAAGATGCATGTAAGCGTCTTGATTACACCTGATTCAGTTCATGCTTATAATATCCAACAAGGTTTCATATGCTTGGCATTTAGCATGCCTTTAAGTGCCCCACTCACATGCGACAGATTTAAACAAGAACTGTCTGAGCTGGAGCCTATGACAATGTTCTCCATACCCCCGACCCTGGTCTAATAAATCTTATTTCACAGTTCTTGAGCATCCTTCTCCTGAAGATCTGTGTTTTGCAATTATTACAGAACAGATCATACCATGACTTTTCGTTTTGTTCCATAACTTCAATGGGGCTGCTGGCACATTAAGACAAAAAAAAAAAAAGAAAAAAGAGTGGCTCATCATGCCTAGAATATGAAGAGAGTATCAAGGTTGAAGTGCTTTTCCTACATGTATCTGTTATGACAGAAGCCTTTAATTGTATGACCGTGTTCTATTTTACAAATAACACTGGGTACAACATGCCTCTTCCTTGCTGACTTTGATGCAGACGTGTTACAGCTTGCACCCGTTTTTCATTCCTGCATTCA